CAAATGTCTCTCAAACATTCTCTAACTGGTACTGAAGGTGTCCACTAGAATCTGCATTTTGTTACCGTCTTCACCCAGCAGGACTATGTTATCTGCGTACTCTACTTCTACTAAGAAGCCACCTTTGACAAGATAAATCCATGTGATGTCAGATGACGAAAGAGAGACCTCTATAAAAGCATCTATGACAAAATTGAACAGGAATGGCGGAAGTGAACATCATTGGCGGACACCACTTGATGTACACAGCTCACCTAACCACTCGCCACAGGCTGTGAAACGCCCAGAAGTGTTCAAATACACAGTCTTCATGAAAAATGTACTTTACCTCATTGAGGAGCTCTGGCACGTGGCTTCTAGATGAACGTGGTCGAATTCCACCTTTCAGGTAGAGAAATACAGCTAGTTTCGGGCGGCGGTAAGTGTGCCAGTGTTCCAAATCCTGACGGACTGTAAATATCTTGTAAACCCACCCACGACCATGTCTAAAACCTTCCTGGTTTTCTCGGACTTGATGTTCTTGAGCTCCACGTAGATATCTAATGATTATGGAACCTAGAATCATAGACAATGTTTTCGTCAGCCTGATTCCCCTTTGGTTATCAGAAGAGGACTTCTTGACTGGAACAATCAGTGATTGAGACTGGTCGGAAGGGATCATATTGGTCTCCCACACACTAGCTAATACTTCAAATAACTCGACCAAAAACGCCGACCACCGTCTTTAAATACATCTGGAGCTAGTCTGTCTTGTCCTTCTATTCAGGTTACCTACCAACTTTGAAAGGAGTTGAGGACTTGTCCGTGTTCCATTAAGAATTCTGATCGATAGCTGCTACCATGACTTGGTGGTCGGGCTTGGATATCACATTGACCCAACGAGCTATGCTCGTGGAACGCTTGTTCCCTCGAGGTTTAGCCATACCAACAAGGTCTGTTGCATAGTAGTAAGACGAAAAACAGTTACCGTTGTAGTTGAACTTACTACAATATGATAGGGGTCTGAGGGTGAAGTTATACTGCTGCTAGCTGGATGGGGTGTCACTGCAGTGAAGTGTTTTCCCTTGGATGACCAACAGTGTCACGCTAATGCTGCCTTCTTAACGGGAACGGGGTGGAGTTGGAAAAGGACGGTCGCAAAAATAACACTCCACCTTGACCTATGGTATTCCGTAGCCGGCGTTGTGTTTTTCCAATTCGGTGTTAGAACAACCGAACCTATCAACAACATCCCACAAAAGGCGGTGTGACAGACCTCAAGCAGATGTCCCATTGGTTCTGCAGCCACACAACTCTTTGTCTCCTTCAGATACCTTAAGAAGAAATGGCCTTTCACTGTGAGCAGCTCGGAAGTGTTAACCGCCTGCACGCTTCCAGGAGTACACAAGACCAAATCAAACAAAACCTATCCTCCTCAACTCTGTCCCCTCCTTTATAAAGGAAGGTAAACGTATACGTTTACCTCCTGATACTAACATTAAGTCCCTTACACCTTCCCTAAGTCCTCACTCTGCAACCATTGCCAATGATGAAAGCCATCGAGACCTCGTTCTTAGTCTCCTAGGGCATCTCCACCGATTTTATGTAGGAGCTAGTACTACTTGGGGTTGTTAAGGATATCGACAAGAAGAGGACGATGGTTAGTGGAACCATCACCGAAAAGGATGGTACCTTGACCACCTCCCAGGATAAGTAGCTTGAACGTTGAGCGGAACACTTTGAAGCACAGTTCATCTAACCCTCCGCAACTCTTCAGTTGCCCAACATCCGGCCTGAACCAGAATTGGATGTAGATATTGATCCTCCAACTCTGTTTGAAATTGAAAAGGGTGTATCGAACCTGAAACGATACAAAGGAGCAGGAATTGACCGTTTTTTCCACCCGAAGTTTTCAAGGATGCTGGTAGGAAATTGGCAATTAAATTGACGGAGTTACTAGGTAGCGCATGGGAATCAGAGGTAGTGCGTCAGACTGGCGTACTTTATTAATCATCCCACTCTATAAGAAGGGGGTATGTTCTTGTGGCAACCATAAGGGAACTAGTTCGACTAATATTGTGTCCAAGATCCTGGGGTCCATAGTTATCCGACGCCCAACTGGAGCTCAAGAACAAAAACTCGAGGACACTGGGCAGGTTCCAGATAGAGCTGAACAAGAGTGCATCGATCATATTTTTACGCTACGGCAGGTTCTAGAGCTGTGGCTCAACGGTTTAGGGAGGTGAGTATCAACCATTCGGTGACGGGTTCGAACCCCTATCAACCTACCAAGGTTTGGGGAGTCAGGCTGTATCACTAGCCCTCGCTCAATAGATGTGACTCATTGGCTACTGCACGGATATGCATATGGTAGCTGTGTGTCTCCTTCGTCGTTCGTTTTTCTTGACCTAAAGGTGGCATTCGACTAAGTCGAGCGTAAGGTGTTGTGGCAGTGTCTGAGTGCAAAGGGAGTACCGGGAAAGTATATAACGCCAATCAGAGCTCTCTACTCGAACTCACACAGCCGTGTCAGGGCTTACGGAAAGTTGTCATATGAATTGAGGTTAACTAGTGGCGTTCGCTAGGGATGTTCATTGTCACTGTTCCTATATGGCTTCGTCGTGGACGTACTAGTGGACATAACCTTAGGTACGTCTGGCTTTACGTGGATTGGAGGTCATGCGGTTGACTCAGGGTATGCAGACGATATTATCCTGCTGGGTGAAGACGCTGACAAAATGTAAGGTCTTCTGAATGCATTGAGCAGAAATTTGAGTATGTTTGGGATGCGTTTCGCACCTGTCAAATGTGAGATAATGCTCTAGAACTGGTCTACTGCAAAAACTCCCAGTTTAATGATAGGGAGTAAGGTGGTGGAATGTGTCGACCACTTCACTCACCTGTGGAGTAGTATCTGCCCGAATGGGATGGTTGCTGACGAAATCTCGGCTCGGATACAGAAGACCCGTTTGGTATTTGCCAACTTGCGTCATCTGTGGCACCGACTAGCGAGATATCCGGCTATCTTTCAAAGGACGAGTACACCGCGCTGCAGTCTGTTCTGTGCTGTCATACAATTGTGAGACGTCCGTTAAAAGTAGAAGACATGAAGCGATTACAGGGTTTTGGTTATAGGTATATTCTCGTAGCATTAGTATCGTCTGGTGGAATCACTATGTGGGCAACGTTGAAGCCAGACGAAGGGTACTAAAGAAGACAGGCAAGTCGATTGATGAGGTTATGAGCCTTCATCGGTTTAGGTGGCTTGGACATGTACTGCGCACTCCGAGACACCTCCTATCACGACATGCCACTCAGGGAGAAATTGGATTATGTTGGGAGAAGGCTCAAGGTGGCCAGACCAAGATGTGGGACCAGTCGATGAATTCCCTGACTATCGGTCTGAACCGTGTTGGGATATGTATACTGCTTGGTTGATATCCTCGAGACGATAGGAGTCAGTGGTTGAGGACTCTTGGTGACATGTCTGAAAATCGGTCGCAGTGACGCAGATGTATTCACTCCTTTATGTCATCCAAAGCGTGAATATTCGTACTAAGCTTTATCTTCGGACATTTTATTCTCTGACACAACTGTACCCACTTTAATATCACTCTTTTTCTATTCACCTGTTCTTTGTGTACTAGTATGAAGTGTGGCAACTTAAGCTGATACACTTACGTGCGAGGTTCGTTGGTTTTGTGAAGCAGTCATTCAATATCCAACTGCGTAGCGAGCAGTTGGATAGTAGCTGGCGGATACTTGAACTGTTTATGAATGTGTTCTGCTCATCGTTCCAGTCGTCTTCCGTGCGAGATAAACATGGGTTCACGTATTATGAAACAGTGACCTTTCTGCCCCAGTCTTTTTATAAGTTAAAATGATTGTCTGTTTTTGCCGATCGTGCTACCTTTTCCATCTCTTTAGGCTTTGTGGCCCACCGTCAGTCACGGTTGACGCAGATGTTTTATTGGCCTGCATTTGAGTTTTTTCCATTTCAGGGCTTACAGTAATTCACTAACATCCATCCACTTAGACCCGCCGCTTCTTTTTTAAATGGTTATACTTTGGCCACGGTCTTAAACTCTCGTTTTACAGCAGACTAGGGATGCAATCAGGCTTCTTGGAAATGAGTGACTTTGCCATGTTCCACTTGCCATCTAACCAGTTTCTCTTTGAAAGCTGCTTCATTGTTTTCATTTGGGTTTTTGGTATTATTTTTACGTTCATTTAACCACAGGAATGGACGTTCGCGAAACAACACGTGGTTACTGTACAAACACGTAGTACTCCTAAAGGAGCGCTAACCTTCTATCGACCCTACAGCAATAGTAATATGGTCGATGTGTCAACCGTTGACTTGAAGTCAATGGACGCCATGTCAGATGATGTCTTTCTGCATGTGCTAAGTTTGTTCTGACCTAAAATAGTGGTTGTCTGAACACAGCAGGCAATCATCATTGTTTTCGTTATAAACAAAAGCACAGCACATCTTATCAGGAAACAGTTGAAACAAATGTATTCATCACAAGTTGTTAATAGGTGTTGCCTTTCGCTGTTTCAATCAGGACATAACCGCTTACCAGAAATTCATGTTTTGTTTTGTTCACACAAGAGTATTACATCAGTGTTTTAAAACATATAATGTAGACGCAGTTTCAAAAAATACTACACTTAATTCAGTTTGTTTCTAACTACTAGCCTCTTTTACATGATTTTACTTGACGATAGCTGACGATTAAAACTAAATGCAACCATTAAATGTGCACATCTCACCAGCCTGTTGAAAATGATTAGGCATATGCACAGCACATGTAGTTGTTGTCTATTCTCACCAACACAGTGGACTGGTCCATTTCCTTACGCTGTGTATTGAATAACGATTTACCTTCTGAGAGAGTATTTCTTTGTATGTATAACATGAGGTCTCATCGTATTCTCTTTTTTCCCTTCACTAATCTGTCTAGGCTGAGATGAGCTGATGTCTTCTTACTGTTTTCTACACAGTGGAGATTACATACATGTATGAGTATATGGATGAACCTTCTGCAATTCAATTATCTGATTTAAATGAATATATCACGTGCAAATTATGTAAAGGTTATTTAATTGATGCAGTCTCAATAATTGAATGTCTTCATCCATGTAAAGCGAATATCCTTTTTGCTCTAAATATATTTTCATAGTTTGTAAATCGTGTATTGTAAAGTATTCAGAAGAGAAACGTGATTGTCCTGTATGTGGGATTCTTATTCACCAAAGTCATCCCTTAAATTATATGAGGTTTGTTTTGTTCACCAGTGTCTATTTTTATCGCCAGCTTTGATCGAACTCTCCAAGATATAGTGTATAAAGTTGTACCTGATTTACGACAGAGTAAGTGTTGTTCTTTAGTTGTTTTTCGTTACCAACAATATTTTTTATAGAAGAAAGACAGCGTCGAGAATCCTTTTATAGATCATTGGGGAAAACGCCACCTCCTACAGAGGGTAAGTTGTTTCACTGTGATATTACTGCAGTAAGTTAAATGTTCTATGTCATACCGATGACGTACTGATAATGAATATCAGTTTTAATTTTAAAAACGATGAACTGTCAACTCTTGTTGGTTTAAATAACAGGGAGTACACCATAGTTGTATACTTTTTTATTCAATAACCTCCGTGTTTTGAGATGTAAAACGCTCGAGTCCTCAGATTGTTATTTAATTGATGGAAGGTTGTCGTTTCTACTCATAGAGGATTACATCACCATCTAGGATTATTTGTACATATATTATCGGGTATTTAACCTATCTGTGTGTTTTCTTGTAATAAACAATTTTTTGATATGATCATTAACTACTCTACTTTGCTGACTGTTGCGTATAGTTCTGTACATTTGTTTTGCAGTTAATCAATTAACTGGCGAAAGTTATGTCAGTGCATCTTGATATTTGACTACGGCAAAACGGTCCTCAGTAAGACTCAGTTTTGGGCTTTCGAACAGCGTTTTATGCAGACAATAGTAGATTAAAGATATTAGGGAATTAAGGAATTCGATTCATTCACATGGTACAGATTTATGAACGAGACTGCGGACCTCAATTAATCTGTGACGTTTTATCACAACATCTAGATAGCTCGGGCTCAAGTAGGTGGAAAAGAGTTTGAACCTAGGAACCATTGATTGAAATTCATGTCCGTAAGCCAATGCATCACACCTCCACCAAAATCACGAAACTTTATAGACTTGTGCCATGTCGTTATCTGACCACCCTTGGCTTTCTGATAATCTAATCCTACTTCAGCTAATATAGTCAATCCTGGGTACGTAGTGAGTTGGTAATACATAACTAAACCATCTCCCTTGGTGGAAACTGACAGTCTCATCACTTGACTTCCCTTTATTGCCTAGCACTTCAGGCCTAACCTCACCACTGACCACTTTGGGGTCCAATACACACGAACAATCCTGCAAATTTATATATATCATCGAAAGCTTGTGACATCCTATTATGCTTTCACCGTCCAAGTCTATCGTACAGGTAGCACAGAGTTAACTGATTCATTGTACATTCAGTGCCTCATTGGCTAGTGGAGTTTTTAGTTAAAAATCACATACCTAGCAGTCTAAAGATTATTCATCACTGTTTTAATAGATTCTAAATGATTTGTTAATGCATGTTATTGTGAATGGTGGATGCGTACACTTCAAACTAAAATCGTTAGCAGAGAGGGTATTCATGACTTCATTTCTTATATGCAGTCTTCAGTTATCGAAGTAATATGATGCTTAAGAGGGATGATTCTATCTCCTTGACCAAGATCCATACATAAATTAGTTATGAGGGGTAGATGGTATAACCATTAGGTCGCGTGTTTTCGACATTGATTAATGTAACCAATCAATTAAGTGATGCGTCACTGAGGTACACAAAGTTTTAGTGTTAGGTATTACTAGTCAGTCGACAGAAAGCCCTATTTGACCTAGTTTTCGTATTTATTCGTAATCATTGACAGGGTGTACCAGCAATTTTGAGGAAACTTATTTCCTCTTGGAGGTTCGAACCTGCATCACTCGATTCCAAAGTCAGAAACTTGACCATTAAGATTCAAAGTTGATACTAAATGCAGTTCAGCGAAAATTTTCTAATGTGGATCATATTTTTGAAAGTCATACATTCGTATGGACAACTGATCATATTAGCTAGATTGTTGGACTAACGTCATATCTCAGGTAATCGAAGCTCTATAGTTCTACACAACCTTAGCATCCAAGCTGTGGTTTTGTCGTTAGCCCATCAGAGAATGACCACTTTACTTTTCCACAGTTTGCTTGGTGGTTGTTTTTGAGGGTTAACGTTCAGTAACCAATATATGCTTATAAATGGATACTTCACTTTTTTCCTTCGCCTTGTCAAAATGTTAAAGATTAGGCAAAGAAAATCACGAGTCAGGTGGTCAAGAAAACGTTACTGGTACAATCCCAAATGATTCTTGTGGATTAGCAGCGAATTTCGACCCAGACTATCATCGTAAGGATGAACAAGTCAATATTCAACTTGAACCAGGATCCGATAACCTGGAACCATTGACAGAAAAGTATTTACGACTCTCATCAAGAGCCACTGTGACGCATTTGAGAAAGTATGTTGCTCAGCAAGTTCTTCATGACATATCAAAATTTCATGAAGTAAGTTTCTGTTTGTCAGTTGCATTTGTCTGTTTGATGATGGTACTTTGATGCATTTATTCGACAACCGAATACCAAGTAACTATAGCAGCTTATGTTAATCGGTAATCAGAGCTACTTTGAAATGATAAAGGTTTTGTTTCGCTATTTAAGGATTGCCAGAATCGTTAGAGTAATTCCGTACTGACCTGCTTTTTATTAACCAGGATGAATAAAAATGTTGATTTCGAAAAAAACAAGTGAGGTGTTATTGTTTTTCAATTGATAACTGTCGAACTACTTGGAAAGCAAACGAGCAGTGACTATCTATTTTTCTTCCTCAAGCATGTAACTCCGCAGTAATACCCGCTATTGAGTTGCTTATTGAAATTTCATTAGTTGATCTTGAGCATGTTCAACTTATTTGTAATGCATGTATACTAATATAATTAATCAGTTCATGAGTCAGAATGGTTGTCAAGTAATCATGACAACTAAAATGTTTACATGTATTTATTCTGATATGTTCTAATTTTTCTGTCCAAACTTTCAAACTGAATAACAGTGCAGTGCTCCTTATTGACTGACTTCAAGATAGATTTCTTCAAATCCTAATGAGCAGATGTTAAACATGGAGTCAAACCAAGTTGAATGTGATGACGCTTGCTTGCCAATAGCATTGAACGATGACTACGATGCATCATTGATTAATAGAAGTTAGAGACATAGATCACTGAACATAAACCTAATGGTTAAATGGTCGCATGCCTGCAGCAAAACCTTAGTTCAAATGTACGTAGGCTCATGTATATTCACTATTATGAAGAGTGAAATAATTGTCTAGTGATCCCTGGTTGTTAGTGGTTCTCTGACTAATTTGGATCAGTTATGAATGGTTTGTAATATACAGTGGAATCTTGAAAGAGGATTGTTGATGCCTCAGGAAGGTCATAGCAAAGTATGACACTAACCTATGAAATTACTAACTTCTAATATATGTTGTATTGCAGTTTCCAGGACTCGTGGTTAAGGGCTGATAAAACACTCAAAATCAGTTGTATCTATGTGGATACATTCACACTATGCCTCTATCAGTCTGGACTCATTTTTTATGATCCTCCTCGTTTCCTCTTTACCTGCTTGTTTCATTTAACTCCTTTGTAATTTCCCATCACTGTTCTGAATTGAACCTTCTAAATCTGGTCCCACATACGAATGTATTGAGAATAGGATTTAAGTATTTGCGGATTTGGAAACCGATCACCCTCAGTGTGCTGCACTTTTGAGTTTTGATAGTCTTATCATAATTTTAATTTCGTTTGTTGTATTTAAAGCCTCCTCTTATTAAAATATCTTATCGTTTCTATCTTTGTTTACTTTAATAAAATATTTAGATTGACATTTTTATCCAGAATAATGAAGATGGTACTTTTCTTGGTCGTGATCATGTATTGAAATTTGTTCGTGTTGTTTACTGGAATGATGTAAGTGTTGATGTGTTTTCATTAGTGTATGATTATTCGCTCTTTCCTTACTTACTGGTTGCGTATATCTTTCTTCTCTTTTGTAGGTTGAACCAATGCCACTTCAATACCGTTACAGTAGAATAATTTATTAGAAATTCGACTGATTGCCTTTATAAAAGCGTCTGTCTACATTGCCTACTACTTTCTAATTTTTATTTTCTTTTGTTTTTTCGTTTCGTTCTCTTCACTCTCCTTCTCATTTCATCCTTTGTGAGTTATTACAGTTTAAAATAATTCGAACTATTATGGAAATAACCAAGTGTACAGTGGTAAGCGATTAAAAATAAAACAAGACGTCGATATGCTCAGCTCAAAATACAAGCCACGTTCACTTTGCACAAGAGACGCATTTGTTCGTCTATATTTTCACGGACTGTAAATAATGATACTATTCTTTCGTTATGTGTAAGTCTTTTGTATATGTACATCACTTATGGAAAAAAGATTACTGTTTTGGGAAATGACTTTTACCTTTTGGTATTTTTCTGTCTGTTGTTTTGCTTGTTAACGTTGTGCATGCTGTAATTTTGATTTAAGCCACTAATCTACTGATGGGAGTGGCCTTGACCGATTTGTTAGCTTTACCAATGAGATTAGTAGAGGAGACATGAACCAATTCACAATGAAAAGGGTATAGAATATATCAGATGGGTAGACAAACAGGTTAGATTACTGGAATGTGTTTCTGTTGATATAATTGCCTTCAAAAAGGCATGATAGGTCATAGTGTATCATATACATCACGTGTGGTGACAGTCAATCTAACTGGGGACACCGGTTTTAGTGTAGATCTGTTGTATTTCAGCATTCCTCATCAGCCGCTTACAGCGTAAACACCTCCGTATATTTTCATATCTAATTTGCTTTAGGTTACAAGTAGCTAATGAGAATCGCCAAAATATAATGGACCCGTCCCATTTTGATAGTGTTTTTCTTAGTCGATTGATTGAGGAGTGGGATTGTATGATACTAATTCAGTTGTCTAGACGTTGGTTTAACATAGAAAATCCTCATTTTGGTCAAATGAAAGTTATGCAACTGTCCGTACAGTTTTCGTTGATTTTATATATATGTTGTACTCTAGACTTTCTGCATTAGGTCGACAGAAGGGAATAAAATGGAGATTTAAATCTGTGTGCGCAGCGAAGAAAAGCAATGTCTCCCTTTTTCTGGCACTTATAGTTAAAAAGTCTATGTGCTCAAACTGGATAATCTTACTCATTATTACTTATCGCCAAAGATTGTTAAATTTACTACCCTGGGACTTGTAAGCGTATAGCAATTTTAATTGTTTTTAGAGGTCATAAGGTAATTGTTATGCCTCAATCATCTTTACTTCCAGGTAGTGGCTCGTACTTTATGAAACCACTTTATGGTCACTTTTTAAAGGTCAAGCCTTGTGCGCTAGTTACTGAAAGTAAAGTTACTGAGGTCACCAACTTACATCGGTTTAGATATCGGCAACGTTTTTATATATATATATATATATATATATATATATATATATATATATATATATATATATATATATATATATACTAAACGCACTGAACTACTAGGGAATGATATGAATAGTGTGGATAAGGTTGTGATTACGTTTAACAAGATCATGGACAACCATGGAAAGGTGTAACTCCAACTCAGAGTCATCTAGCGTTGATCCAAGCGGGTTAAAGAATTGTTAGTTTCGTAGTTAGAATCTATGATGTATTGGAAACCAATGGTTTGAGATCATTCTCATATTTCTGAGAATCGACCACAGTATTACTGTGAGATATTAACTGCCTATTTTTTAAAATGAAACTTGCTTGGTCTATGTTTCTACTTCCTATCTTTCCATATAATATCTTTCTCTTTTAGTTGAACCTTTCTGTATGATTTCAGATGATTTGAATTGAGAATATTTTATGAGAATTTCTACCCTGGGTTTTATCTGTTTACTTGTGGCAGTACATTTTTTGAGATTTACTATTTGATTTTCCTAAATAGGAACTACTATTTTATGCCATCAGTCTTATTTTTTTGGCCATATTGTGTTCTTAGTGTTGTTGGACAAGTATTGCAACACAGGTTTCATGTTGAGTTTTCAGTCCAGCGTTCTTTTTATGATATTGGGTTTTAGGTTAAGATAGTCTTATGCTTTTGTTTTGTAATTCGTCATTTAAAAAATTGAGACCCATAATACAAATCAACGTGTCATATAATATAGGAAATAAGTGAATCGACAATGAATGACATTAAAGTAAACAAAAGTTTATGAGAGGGGATAAATTAATGAGGGTTGGTGAAAATCCTCGAAAGCGAAAACAATGTATGCATCTGCGACATTGTGATCAGTTTTGAACAATATCATCAGAAGTATTCAACCATTGATTCGTATCATCTTGGGTACCCTAGCCAGGCGACCTAAAACTCTACACGCCTTAGGATAACAATCGATGACTTCATGAATTAATGCCATACCTTAGTCTGACCACTTTTAACTTTCTTCTAATTTAATTTTACTCCTGTTAGTGTGGTGCGTCGAAGTAGGTGGTGGCGTGGCATGCATAAGATGTACAAGCCACCTCAGTTACTGAGGATTCAGAACCTCATCTGTTAACTATTCTTGCTTTAATAACCCTGTGGCCATTGAACATGTCTTTAGATTTCCACTAGTTCTCTCCTTTTTACATTGGACTGAATAAGAGTGATGATGTTTAACTACAAGCCCAAATATTACACCACCAGCTTTTTTATTAGTATTATCGTGCGCATAACATATCCCTGCTTATTTTGCAACCTCTAATGAATATATATACGTTGATTTGAATAGGCCTTGATTACTCAAGTTACGTCTTATTGTCAGTGTGACAGATGATACAATAGAAATACTTTCCGTCTTTTGATCACTATAAAGCTCGATGAACGTGACTTAATATGGGAGATCTTTTATTGATGGTTAATTCACTTATTATTTGTAGCTGTATGCGTTAGTATATTTCTCTTATGCGACAAATATAAAATCTCACTGAATTCCTGATGTTGATTAACACTACATTATTGGATGGGGTTATGATATTCAAATCCCTACTTTTGAATCACCTGTTCAAAGGCAATATCAAATGATATCGCTAGCTGTAATACAGTATACATGTATACTTCACAGTTTAATGCATTACCATATAAATGGTTATTTTATAATGAAGAATGTTGTTGACCTGACTCCATTGTTCATGGTGGCACAGGTGCATTCATTCCTTACCAATTTCTATATTTTGAACGTTCTTCTGGCCTTCACATTATCTTATTCAAAGTCAATTGATGAAGTTTTAAATTTTCATCTACTGAAATTTGCTAGGAATAGGAGGTTACTGACTGTGCTTGGGTCGAACGTTAGCTAAATTGGTATTAGATTGGGGACTCTAGGTGATATGGCTCAGAACCGATGTCAGTGGCACAGATGCATACACACATTATCCTCATCTTAACTGCTATACTCAATCTCATTTTCTCAATCCTTCCTCTTCTCTTTAACTACTTTCTACTTCTTTTGACCTATTTTTCCCCCTCATCTTCTATTTCATTGCCTTTTTACTTGATGTGCCGATATGAGATATGGGAGCTTGGATCATTACGCAGTAATTTATGGTAATTTGTTAATGATGACCTGACGTCAAGACAAGACACCAATTCGTGAAATCTGTGGTTGTTAGTCTGAGGTACATGGGGAAATCTAGGCCATTAGGTTGGATTCCGTCAGACAACTGAGTCCGATGATTGGTGTCTGTAGGTATTGATATGACTGGGCAGTTTTTCCCACAAGTGTACATGCGTTATCTTCATCTTTGCTATTATATCATATTTAGTTTTTTTAACTTCTTTCCTTTTCATCCTAAGGTTTCCTACTAGTTCTGATATTACTCGCATTCTGTTGTCTTTCATCTTTTTTTGTATAGTCAATCTGGAGAAAGAACCTGTGACGGCTTAAACCATTACACATGAAGTCGCATGTTGTCATCAAATAACAAATTATAATCTCATGCTATTGTAGTCCATCTTCTGCTTGTACTCTGTTGGCGCGTGTGACAGCATGGTCTGAGTCCCTTCTGTACAAGTTTCTGTGTTGATCTATTTGTTTAACACTTTTTAACTATTTTTATGCATATATTTCAACGTCTTCCTGTTCCTTCTTAACAGGTACTGCGGATAAAAACGAAGAATACGCATAAAAATCTCGTTAACTACTAAATGGTATGATCAATGTTAAGGGCTGTATAGTCTGGTTCCTTTTACAATCGAGAATCAAAACTTAAGGTATGTTTAAAATAAAAGAGTACTAATATTCAGTTGTAATGGTTTTTCAATTTTTTTTTTCAATTTCCCAGTATTCAGCCTAGTTTTTGTTTTTAAAGTAACACGCTGTTGACTACTGATAACATTTCCAATGAGTAATAGAGTTGGGGTAGTTTTTCTTCTTCAACACTACCGTTTCATACCTTGTTTATGCCTTGAAGTAATAATCCCTGATCTGTATCGGTTATATGAAAATATAAAAGGTATTATTTCACTATTCATATTGAATAGTGTATCAAAGCCGTGATTAGGTAATCAGTAATCAATCATGTTATAGCACAACTTTATAAAGGTACTTCAATAAATGAAATGCATGTTTTTAGTGTTGGCTACATAGTTTTTCCTGATTGATTTCAGGTTAAAATTAACTAGTCCTGAAGATTACCTGAGTAAAACCAAATGGTGTATGTGTGAAAATAAACGAATTTCTGTTATATTTTGTTGCTCTTATAGTTCTATAGTGTAATAACTGGTAGAATCTGCGTATACGGTTTCTTTTTTTATTTCTAGATGAAACTGAAGTTTGCTTTGGATGGATTAAAATTTAACTTGAGTAAAATGCATAATTATCCGGTGTAATGTTATGTTTTCAATAGTATGTAGATTTAACAATAGTCGTCTGCATTTTCCAATGCAACTGATCACAGACACCAGTTAGAATGTTCTATCAGTGATGAATTTATGCAAGATATTTCTTTATACGTAAGTAGAATGAGAATAAGGTTGCAGAGAAAATCTGCTAAGGCGTGAAATCGCGCCTAGCCAAACGCTATTGTCTTATCTATATTAATTCAGTTATCCTTTTTCTAAAGATTTGTCTTGACTAACGAATGTTAGGTTGAGGTTATCGTTGTCTAAATAAGTTGACTTATTTTCATACATTAACCCCTATACGGTTCATCATAGTGATAGGTGTAAATGATGTAGTCTTTTGCCTATGTACTTGCATCAATAATGCTACATGGGTAAACAATAAAGTATTTTAACTCTAAAGAATTATTGAAAACATATATAGGTTCAAACTGAGGACTTTCAGTTTGTGCAGCGAGCATATCTCTACTCAACCACTGGAATGAAACTTAAACGTTTAACATTTTTCTCACCTACTACTGTTAGTTCACTATATAACCCAACCACCGTCCAACGTCGTCGATAACTATCTGACACCATGCTAAACTTGACTGACTTCATTTGTTGTTTCTTCGGATAAGTGCCTCAGAGAGTTAAACCCATAGCAAGTTATGAATAAGCACTCGATTGTTATTCAGTGAGAAAGTTTTTAGGAGATGGTATTTTCATGATAGATTGTCGTCATCAACATTATCACTTGCAAACTAAAAAAAGTATATATTCATATAGTGGATCAGTGTTAAGACACATTAAACTGCAAGTATTTGTCACCATTCTATTTTTGCTTTCATTACTCGTTTGACTGTATTGTTTATCAATGAGGCCAATGAGTTTTTAAGCTTAGAATCGATCCAGTTTGTGTGGAATACAATCACATGTATGTGCATGAATGTCTCATCTCTCTTATTTATTGTACGGTCTACTTTATTAGCTATCACAAAGTAACAATGAAATATCAGTCTGTTAACAAATTACAAAATGAACATGTTGGTAAGCTTTTATCGAGTGTGCTTTCGCTTATCGTGTTTTAACCTTTTACTCTTCTTTTGTAGTGGTGTACTTACACTATATGTCTTCATTTTTTGTGTGTTTGCTTACCTTCAGTGAATAGTGGTTTGCATATGTGCATTTCTAATCTAATTTTGAATCCTTACGTCAAATGAAGTATATTTTATCCAATAGCATTATTTGTATTTTGTGGTGAGAACATTTTTGTCCATATATATATATGTATTTCAAGTTGTTATTCATCGAAGACTGACATCAGTTGGAGGAACAAAGGAAACCTGGGAGCACGATATAGCGCGAACCGCCACCGCTATATCGTGAGCTAACAGAAGTTGGAAATATGGAGCATTGGATTCTGACCCAGTGGCTCAATGGTAACGCGCTGGCCGCGGAACCTGAAGGTCGCGGGTTCAATCCCTGCTGGTGGGGTCGTGGGTGCGCACTGCTGAGGAGTCCCATACTAGGACAAAACAGCTGTCCAGTGCTCCCAGGTTTCCTTTGTTCCTCCAACTGATGTCAGTCTTCGATGAATAACAACTTGAAATATTTCCAAATCTCCACAACCCCTCAAAAAAAATATATATGTTGATGTAAGGTTTACATTGCTAACTGATAGAATAGACTTTTTGACAGGATATTTGTCGGAGCTTTTCTGACTAAATTGATGGTTTAACATACCATTTCATACCTATCCATCAGGCTAATAACCATCAGTTAGTGGCTGGTTGAAAATGAGAAGTAAGGGGGTTAACTAGGAAACTGACACAATAAAATATATTAAAGATGGATTGTGGCTAGCAGTGGAATTCAGAATGCGTATTTCATCCTTTTTGGAACTCATCAACTGGATGTACCTGCCTCCCAGTGTGTGATGCTGTTCCCACCCAATCAACAACGGTATAATACAAGCAATAGTACTAAAACTATGCCCGTCGCACAAGAAGTAGTTATCGTGGCTCTGTGGTGTATTGCATAACGCTCTGGGGTTTAAAGCGATCAGCCTCGAGTCCGAATCCCGGTAGGAACAACATCACTCACTGGAAGGCAGGTACATCCAGCTGACGAGTCCCAAATAGGAGGAAATACGCATCCTGCATTCCACTGCTAGCCACTATCCATCATTATTATAACTAGAACACAGGTATATCGAGGCACCCGCACAGGAGCTCATATGTCCATAGAGACTGATCAATTTGGTTCAATCAACGACGGTGTAACACAAGCAATAACACTAACAATAGAATATAGCTTGAACTCATATAGTGGTCAGATGTAAACTCTTTCACATAAAAAGCGACATCGATTTAGGTGTAGCACATATTTCTGTGTCTACGTCTACGTAACACGTATATATATTATTTTGCGTTGTTTAGTGGTATATATAATCAAGTATGTAGAGTATCCAGGTGGTAAGCACTACTGAAATTTATGACTTCATTAAATCCTCCCTTTTTCACATTCGTTGGTTATCTTAAATTTGTATAGGGAAACAACTATTTTCAAAGTCTAATGAAATGCCTGTTTAATAAGATCTGTCGTGTCTGTACATCAGATTCGGCGGAAGAAAATATCAAATAACTAACCAGAACACTTATGGGAAACAGATATCCGCTGAAGTTTATTAGCCGTTGTTGGAGTCAAGTAGCGCAAAAGCCGACTCTCTACACGGTTCCTAAGATAACTGTTCACATCGTTCTACCATACAGAGGGGAGTATAATTTTGAAAAGTAGGCTAACGTCAGTCATTAAGAAAACATATGCAGCTGAGGTTATCATTATGGAAAAGAAAAAACACATACTTCACCTCAAACTTAAACACTACATAAACGATTGCGTGACACTCCATCGTGTTTACTAGTTTACATGCATGTGTGATCACGCATCCTTAGGAAAGAGTAATTGAGCTATGCAGTTTAGGGTGAGAGAACATGCACCTAAATGGCTTCCAAAACTAATGGAGTGTGAAACGTTTAATAAGCGTAGGTGACAGACAACCCTCTTGATCTACAGCCAAACATATTATTGAAATGGGTCACAAAATTAATGTTCAAACAGCTTTCTAAGTTTGATATAGAAGAAGTCAGTGACACACACTGCGATAGCCATACGCAAATTGAAACCACCTTCTGGTGCATATAAAGCATTTTGTTCTTACACTACGCCAAGACCAGCATCAGTCACTTCCTTTTTGTTCGCTTCTTTCTTAACTTAATCGCCTATTATCTGAACTTTATTTATCCTCCCATCCTTCGGTTTTATATAAATTAACTTGACAAGTAAATGTATTATCAGTTTGAAATGTTATTGCTTAAAGAAATCACATTGTTCAGATAAGCTTCGTCTTGTAATTGTAGTATCTCAATTTGTATTTATTCTAGTTTTTATATTTACGATTAATATTTGTTTAGCTGGCTGGCTTGCAATGTGCGTGGTATTTCGACACACTAGTTTTTTCGTGTCTTTCCGAACTGTTGTATGGTAATTTTTGGATTTCTCGTTTTAACAATTTAGTAATGGATTGGATTTTTATGAATTTATTAGTGATTAAGGCTTTAAGTATTCGTAAAGTGACGGTCTACTCCCCCCTCCGTATATCCTCTTTTTTTGTAACGAACCAAGGTAATAGTATTAAATTTTATCTGTAAAACCCACTGAGTGAATAACGATTTCCTTCGTGACTTTCTCACCTGTCCTCACGAAGGTATTAATTTTGGTAAATGGTTATAAAGTTAGTGTACATCTCGATTCTTTTGCATACACTGAAAATGTTCTTTAGGTACAAAGGTAAAAGCCATTAAGATTATATCATCATTCAAGGAGACAAAAACAAGTGGTGCAAAATAATTTCGAGAAAATTAAAGGCAATAAGTTCTGAGTCTTTAGAATACGCATAAATAATAGTACTTTTAACATGGCCGAAAGGAAAGTTGTAAGATTTTCAATTCTCATCAGTTGTGTACCACACTGTTTGGTAAATCTAAAACGAAAGTGATTGCATTTGCATGTTTTACTCTCTTATATACTTGATATTTTTATTATTTCTCTTCTTAGATAAACATTAAAGATAATGGTTTGTGAATTTAAGCACAAAATAGTTTTTGTGTACTCCTCAACTTCCAATTACCAGTTCTCAGTCATATCATATCAATGATATGATTATGAGCAATAATTTATGTTCGAAACGTCATCAAGTAAATAATACTAGATCTCTGTGTGTTCTAAATCAAATAAACAAATCTAGTATGGAATAGATTCTACTACAGTGCCCAAGTCTTACCACCTATATTAGGTGTGAAACATGGCCATTGAAGGTGGAAGAAGACATGAGAAGGCTTCAGGTGTTTGACCACCCTTATCTTCGTAGTATAGTCCATATTCCGTGGTGTTATCAGGTGAGTAACGCAGAAGTCAGGTGCAGAATTGTAGGGAGATGAGGTAAATCAGTTGATGTGTTTGTGAACCTTCATCGACTGAGATGGTTGGAAAGCGTGTTACCTATTCCTGGTCGCCGATTGCCTCGTCACACAATGTTGGCCGAAGTAGGTCCAGGCTGGAAAAAGGCCCGAGGTGGCCAGACTAAAACATAGCACCAATATATGAAGTCTTTGACTGTTGGTTTGAGCCATGTGAGGCGATGCAGACTAGGTGGTTGGGGTCGGTGAGCCAAGAGGAACCAGTGGTTGGAGACTCTAGGTGATATGGCTGAGAACCGAAGTCAGTGGCCCAGATGTATACACACATCATCCTCATCTTAACTACACTATACCGAATCTCACCATTTTCTCATTCTTCTTTTATCTCTTTTAGTACTCTATATTTCTTTTGACTGAATTTTCCTATCATCTTCCACTTCACTGCCTTTTTACTTGACTTATTGATATGAGTTGTGACAACTTAGACGGTTACACAGTAATGCCTGACCCTATGTTTATGGATGATGATGATACATCAGTTTCCAGTTTTCCCGAATGCGTTCTGGTGGTCGGAACATCTAAAAGTGCAAGTTTGTTATTTGATTCCACTTCAGTTGTAAATTTGATGTCGTCGAAAGCGTTATTGGTTGATTTGTATGCGTTTTCCGATTTGTTTCTATGAATGAGGACAAATGTGTCATCCACATATTGAACCCAAAGTTTTGGTTTGATGTATGGAACTTGGACATTACAGTTGTGTGTGTTCCAAGAGGTATGCATCGTTGTTGAGGAAAAGTCATTGTATCTTTACTTAGATTTGGTTCCATGGAGGCCTGTAGAGAGCTGTAACGTTAATAGACGCTGTCTGTTCATCGTTTTCAATATGCATATGATTGACCTTCACCAAAAATTGTGTGGAAGAGTTGATAGAGTGGTTGTATGATTCTACAAGTTGTTTCAGTTTTCTGAAGAGTTCTTTTAAAAGATTATGTACTGGAGTCCTTGGAAGTGAAACAGTCATAGAGGGACGTTTGGTTTGTATATTTTAAGTCTACGACGGAAACGTAGAAGAACAGATTCATCGGATTTCATTAGCCATTAGTCTTGTTTTGCAATTTTTCCTGCTTTGTCGAGTTTTTTAAAGTCTTGGTGATTTGACAGTCAAACTTCGGAATAGGGTTTGTCTCAGTTGGGTAAATTTTGTAGATGTACCGCATTAACCTGGTGAGGCCAAGTGAAAAATCGTAATTAAGTCCTGAATGCGTATCTCGAGAACATAGCACACATACAGGACCTGAGATACTGGAGTTTTGGCCAACGAAGCTTGTTTGGTTTTCACGGAGGGTGCGGACATTGAAAACTCTGATATGTGATTTGAGGCACGGTTTCAGGAGACCAGTGATGCTTTTCCTTGAGCTCAGATCGTTGTCAAGAGCTTCAGAGCCGGATGAAATCAAAGATGGTGTAGAAATATTGACAGAGATATGTAGAGGAGAATTATACGGCAAATATGTTGACTGTTGATAATGATCAAAGAGGACTTGAGCACTGACAGAGGTTTGAGAGTGGCTGACACTTTCACTGTGGAAGGTTACTTCTTGAGGTGCCTGATAAGGAAATAGTTTTATTAATGTCGGTGTGTGATCGCAGGTGTTAAGTGAAATCTATTTAAAATCTGTTACCTACGGCGTTTTTGGAAGTTTGCGGTTCAGATCCGATGGCTCTATTGCTGGATAATAAAAATCCCATACTGTCTGCACAAAATAACCTCATGGGTGGTTAGGGGTGTGATATTTTTGCTGCTGATGCTTTCTATCCCCTTCTCTTCACATTGGAAAGGTAACTTCAGCATGGCCTTCTATTCACGAGAAACACCTTACGGCTGTCACACTTCATGCAGCCAGCAGTACTTCACCCTCAGAATCCTATCTTAGCGTAGCAGTTCACAATAGGACGGTAACTGCTTTTCGTGTTACCACTTTCCAACAGAGTTTTCTGACATGATGGGATTTCAGGATTAAGTGTTCCTATCAGAATGATTGCGATATGCAAGCTCATTTATCACATAACAGTAGCAGCTTTCGATAGGTGATTGAACTGAATACTATTTCTCAAGTTTTCGATACAATTGACTCACTTTGATCTTCCAGTGTCTAATTATTGACCCACCCAAATGAAATTAATGTAGTGAACTTTGATCCAATGACCGTTTATTGAATAATATTTGAAACTCACGAACGAGAATACAGAAATATGAACACGGTTAAAATAATTTTATTCCTTACTTTCAAATCGAAAATATTCATTCTAGGGTAATATGGCAGTAGTAAAAAAATCAATACATTTTTCTACTACTCACTGAAAGCGATATATCCATTCTAACTGTCAGACATGCTCATTGTATTGAGCAGCTGATAATGATAAGTTCAGCTTTTAATGTTAAACTACTGAATGAAATAAGTTTTTTCGATTTCAGTAGCTGATCGTCTACAGAAGAAACAAGACTTCAGCTGTCATTTTTCTTCCTCTCTTAGTTATTTCTGATAATGATAACAATAATAATTGCAGTTTTAGTTCAGTTAGTGATTGTCCTCTTTTGTTGATCGTTATCTTTGGTCATCTTTTCTAATCTTAATATCCAGACATTTTCTATGAAGGTGTATATACGTGTGTTTATATATATATATATATATATATATATATATATATATATATATATATATATATATATATATATATATATATATATATATATGATACTCTTACATTTAAGCTTGCAATTACATGTGGTTGGAAAAATAAAATATATAATAAATGATTGAGACGTGACTCGTTAAGACAATAGGTCCTGAGTTCGAATCCCATTTTGTCTTCTTCAGTTTGAGCAAGTGACCAGTATTGCGCACTTATACACACCAAGTTTGACTTGTAGCTGTACTATGGTAATCATTTTTATCAAGTGAAGTAATAAAATTTCTATGTTCTTGTAGGACAATTAGTCGTAAAAATGGAAATCGAAGACTAGTTTTTAGTGGACAGTTGTTACTATGTTGTCTGATAGTTAGGACAACTGTGATCGTTAAGCATTATTGGCAGGTCCTACAGTGATGGTAACTGCTTGACTGACGTTGTCTGATATTCAGTGCTGACCGGATTTTATACATGAAGAGGTGACATTTTTCAGTTTGATTTGATCCGTCCAGTAGTGTAACATATTCTGTTTAGCGTAGTGATGATTGGAAGAGTTCGACTTACAGCATTACGCGTTATTATTTTACACTTATTGTGACCAAGTCAAGTGTGCCCGCTATAGTATTATCAGTGACTAATAAACATAGAACGTAAACAATTGAAGGTATCTTGACAATATCTTTTGATATTATCCTCAACTTACTAACGTCTGGGCTTATTACCTGTTGCGCAAACGTGCACATGGTTGCTGAGTACTTTTTGATTTCTGTTACCTTTTGACATGCAACTGTAATGATACCGTTCACACTGACATTTTGGATGAATCATTTGAGTTCAAGGCGTTTTTTATTGCAACCCTGTCGAATCAGTGACTGTTGAATAGTTAACTTGTCGTAGTTCCAGAGTTTTCGGTAGATCAACACATTTTTTTAGAAGCCATTTAATTGTTACCCGTGTATATACCTAAACATGATTTAGGTGTCTTTTGTGAAACTTACATGGTTAGAAGCAACATCAGGAGGCTAATTTTATTTGACTTCTGAGTATCCAGTGTCGAATTATGATTTAAAATTCCATACTAGGCCACCATTTACTTGAACACGCACCGCGCAAAGGCTGGTTGTAGGAGTGGAATAATTGCCGCAATGAATTAACTTAGAGGATGTTCTTGTGTCAGTTCACTGTCTATTGATCTGTGTTGTTTTGGAAACCGATTTACGGAATAGCACAAACCTACAGTTGGAGACTATGATTAAGGTATGTAGTAGCGGCAATATTGTAGTCATTGTTTATCCTATTCTAAATCTTCAGCAATAATGTGTTTTGGTTATGTTGTGTTCGTTGAGCTGGGTTGTTTAATAGCGAAGCTTTCATCGTCTCTCTAGACAACATCAGCAGCACTAACTTCAGTACGAAGTGAACTGTCAATATCTCTCCGTGAGTGATTTAGTAGCTTGCTCTGACGAAGTGGTTTGTGATTGATTGTTTCCTTTGATTACTGTGTCATTGACTGCACAGATTTTCCTGTTGGCTGTTCCTCTGCTTGACCTCTGACCTTTCTATCGTTTATCATTTTTCTTATTGGTTGATAAGTAGGGTCTGTGTCTATACATCTGTTGATTGCTGACTGACCTGAATGCCAAGCTTCTACGAATTCTCTGATATTCGTGTTTCCTCTATCTAAAATTTCTATATTGTCGAAATTGAATTCATGTCCATAATTATGCACATACATTGAAATAAGTGATGAAATATCATGTGCGACGTTTATTAGCCAGTTGGTGAAGGCGAAGAGGGCAACCACTTTGTCGAATGTAGTGTTGACTACAGTTATTGCAGTTGATTTCGTAAATAGTATTCTGTTTGTCTTCTTTGGTTGTCGCATCCTTTGGTCTGGATAATAGTGTTTGCAGGGAATTTGTTGGTTTATGAGCCACACCAATTCCAAGTGGTCTCAGTAATCTTGTCGTGATTTCTAATATATTCTTTGGGATGATGCATTTGTTGATTTCTGTCTATGACTTTGTAGTTGGTGATGTACGGGATAGCACCAGTTGGCTATTGAACGTCACGACATTTCGTTACTCATCTCAATGCACATGGATAATTATGGACATGAATTCAATTTCGACAATATAGAAATTTTAGATAGAGGAAACACGAATATCAGAGAATTCGTAGAAGCTTGGCATTCAGGTCAGTCAGCAATCAACAGATGTATAGACACAGACCCTACTTGTCAACCAATAAGAAAAATGATAAACGATAGAAAGGTCAGAGGTCAAGCAGAGGAACAGCCAACAGGAAAATCTGTGCAGTCAATGACACAGTAATCAAAGGAAACAATCAATCACAGACCACTTCGTCAGAGCAAGCTACTAAATCACTCACGGAGAGATATTGACAGTTCACTTCGTACTGAAGTTAGTGCTGCTGATGTTGTCTAGAGAGACGATGAAAGCTTCGCTATTAAACAACCTAGCTCAGAGAACACAACCAAGACCATCCACCTAAGCTACAAGTATTCTCCACTATTTCAATAATGTTTTCCCACTCACCCGTCTATTCCATTTATTTGTTTGCTTAACTCTATGGTGTAGTGAACTGTGTTAACGTGATCAAATGCGTAATAGGTTGAAGATTCCTTGTTGCTCTAGATGAATAAATATGTCCTCTATAAAAACTTATGCATGCTAGGATCTATGTGAATATAGTTATACTCTTTTAAGGAACTGAATCTTTTGTTCTTCTTTCATATTCTTGTGGTGTAAATGCATACACGCAAATCAGTCCCGGGAAGAGTCTATGACTGTCTCAAGATCTGAATACGAGTTAAAATTTTCCAGTTAAATCATTAAACAGTCATCTATTGGTATAGATAATTCAGTCCTACTACCATACAATAAATTGTCTGCAACGTTATCCAGTAAATGATACTGTTTCAGTGTATGACATTTCCAATAAACAGACTAAATGGAGTAACATTTCTAATATCAAAATTGAATGACATGAGTTCAAATTTCTCGAGGAAAAAGATATTTATCAGGATTAAATAAACAGCTTACTGATCAGTGTTAACAAGCATGCTACCGTTGGGTAAACACAGCTTCCTACCGATTGATCTTAAACATTTAACACTTTCACATGCTTTCGCGAATAATTATAATGTATTCATAACTTATTCCAATTGTTCATTAATATTACAATGTTGCTTTGGTTTTCGTAGGCATAATAATCAGTTCAATTTTCTGTACCATCTGTTGAAAGCAATGTACTCACACTGATTTCGCGACGTATATTTTAAATTCGATTTCTAGTTGTGTTTTTCTTTGTTAAGGTTGTCACAGATGAATATTTGGTTGAATCGTAGAAAAGCTAACACTTTTTATTTTTTTTCAATACAGGGAATAATTTTATTCAAGCCTTAATTTTATATATACATTCATATTAACATCACTTCTTGCATTTTCCATTTAAAAAAATGTTTAGGAGATTCTTATTCACTTTATCCACGGAATAGTATGTACTCATCGACATCGGACACTTCAAATCCATTCGCAGATCCAACTACAACATTAAATAATCAATCACAACATCAATCTGAAAGTAGTACCTTTGTTACATCTACACTATCTGATACTTACCATCCTCACAAAGTTAAATCATTCGACGAAAAAGTTGCTATATTAAATGATGACCTGCTTCTTGACGGTTCAAATTCCATCGTAAATACTGGTGATGTCAATGCTAGAGGTCTTTCATTTCAACCTCCATTTTCGAACTTGAAAAAGGGTAAGACAAGCCTTTATTTTCGTTTTTTAAACAGTTAATCATTACCGATTTTTAAAATTTTTATATTTGAGAGTTATTGTATGGTTTAATTTATTGTACTGGTGACGAAACTTTGGAAGTTCACTGTATTTTCAAGTGAGATTTGATATGTACAGTTATAAAACATAGCAGGTTATAATAAATTTATCGAACGACTTAAAGAGTGCAAAACCTTTGCTCAAAAGTACATCGGTAAACTCTGTTACACTTTGCGATGACGCCAGGGGCAAAGTAGAACATTGTAGAAGCAGCAAAGAGGATAAAAATATGACTGTGAAAAATAAAGAGGAGAAGGATGTTTTTTGATATTTCAGTGAGTTTTAAGCTATTTTACCCAACGCTTCCAACTACCCACCTTTCTTGTCTCTTTGAATCTAAAAACTTGACCTATATCTGTTCGTAAAGTTTGGGTTAGTTTTTGGTGATTTTGTTCAGTTACTCAGAGATTTCCATACTTTTTCACCCCTACCAGTAGAAACACACTGAAGTTATTAAATGGCTTGGTTATTGAATAACTTGTTTTTATCATATGAATTCAGTACTTTTTCATTTGGTTTGATCACTTTATCTGAAACTCCACGTTTATCTATTAGGTAGTGTGATGCATTGTATGGAGGATGTTTGGAACTTTGAGATGTAAGTTGGGGTCTACGAAAGGCAAATTAAAACTCCACTGTTTACTTCTTAAGCTTTTAGGCATAAGTTGTTTCTTATATGATTAGTTACTCATCACTGATCGACTTTATCTATGGTTTTTTACTTGATTAAGGTGACCAGAAAATGAGTTACATAGGTTGACTCATCGTCTACCGCAGCATACGATTTTATCTGAAGTAGGGTTGGGTTGGAAAAACTTGAGTGGTCAGATCCAAGTATGTGACACGAATAACTGAAGTTTTAGATGATCACTCTTAGTTGTCTGAAGAAATGTAAGCTAAATTACTGAAGTTCATGAGACAACATAGATCAATGGCTGACGGCTATACGTCGCTCGGAATCGATCGCAGTAACGCTAGATCTATGGAGTAATGGCTCATCGTTTTGGCGAGTCGACCTGCAACCAGTGTGTCGCTGGTTGGAATACCTCTCCACCTACTGATGTTTGGGCAGCCAGGAAGTATCATTAGCCCTCATACAATAAGTGTGGCTCACTGCCAACTGCACGAATGTGCACACAGTTGCTGAGTGGATTTCGTTGTTCGTTCGTTCATCTATGCCTAATCTTCGTTTAGATTGTAATATCATGTACTGTTATTCCTCCGTCATCTTTTCTTCTTGGGTTGTGGCGTAGGAGTTATGCAGCAATGCTGCTCGACGGTTCCTATCATCACGTCAAACAAGTATGAACCAAGATAAAGTATGAAAGAAAAATGCAGTCAAAAGTGATAGAAAGTTATCAAGAGAAAGCAAGGAGGAATGAGAGAATGGTGAGATTCAGGTGAGGAAAATTTGCGGATACATTTGCGTCACTGAGATCGATTTGAAGCCATGTCACCTACACTCTTCAGCCACTGTCTTCTGTTGTCGTGCTGACCCCAACCGGGAAGTCTACATTTTCCTATACGACTTACGGTGACAGTCAAAGACTTCAGGAACAGATGCTATCTTTAGTTTGGTGGCTGCATGCTTCCAGCCTGAACCTATTTCAGTTAACATTGTGCGACAAGGTAGATGGTGACTAGACATGCATAACACATGTCCCAGCCATTTTAACTGATGAAGGTTCACAATCTCATTAACCGACTTTCCTCTTCTCTCTCTACGCCTGATTTCTGAACGACTAATGTGGTGACACTGAGCATCTGGTGTTATGAACAGGTGATCAGTGCATTCACCACCTAAAAGAACATAGCATGCTTCTCGTGCATGAGATTCTCACATGTTTTGCACAGACTACGAAGTACGAAGCATCTAACATTTTGACATTACTGGTAACAAATGATTAACACATACATTAAGTAGACCCTTTTTAAAAGCTATGGTTAAAGATGTATTCATTTCAGAGTGACGGAACACTTCCAATTTCCCATACCTTCCCCAAGAATGTAATCAATTCTCTGACCACGTTCTCACCTCCATCTCTTTATATATTTCTTGAACTTATTTTGGTTGTTTTCTATATGACTGCTAACGTAGAATGTACAATAAAATCTAGTAGGATGTTAAATAATCGAAAATTTAACCCAATGGATTTCTCCCGCCTTCTTGTGGTAGTCGAGTTTGTATATCTCAAGGATCCAATGAGCCATTCTGGCTGGAACGGTTGTTCCATGACAGCCTATCATGGCAAATGGTTAGGTCAGATAGCTATGAAACTATACTGGGTTATAGTCATAGTGTTAATATGTTGCGTTTTGATGGAAATCCAAATGCCATATCGTATTGCTGGCTAAGCAGCAAATATGATGGTGTTGGCAGTTTTCAACTGGACTACGACTTTCCCGTTCAATATGCTTTTGTGTCTTTTCTTGCTTATAGTTTGTTGGTTTGACTGGGTTTTTCTCGATATGCTTTGCATAGACTGTAGAATTCCTATAGGTGAGTCAGTCATTATAGATTCAGTCTGTGCTTTCAAGTAGTAGCACATTCACTCTTACATAATAGGCTTTAGGAAGTATGGCTTAGTACATAAACAAATACAAAGTTGCTATACTACTTTCAATTGGTGTCTCAGTAACCACTGACATTTCGTTGCAGCATGTAAACGTTGAATTACCGTAAACTCGAAATTGATCTGGTATCATATTCTTTCATGACTCGCTAGTGTGTTTTATTTTGTCTTTTGTGAAAATGTCGATCGAAGTTTAACCGAAAAAAGGAAGCATTTTTTTCTGAATTCATCGCTAGTCAAAGTTTTTCAACATTGGTGAGGATTCCACTGTAGACAGGTCTTAAACAGCTCTAGGCTTAAACGAGAGAGATTGGCTCATGTATTATTAACTTTCAGGAAATATGGGCGCTACTTCTCTATTCAATTCTCTACCTTTTTCATTAAAAAGGAAGCTATTTAGGTTATAACTTTTATCCCCCTTACTCTAATAAGTCATTCAGTTGGTAAAATTGTTCACTCGAGCGTGTCCAACACACAACTGAGCCATGAGACCACTGGTTCAAATCCTACCACGGGTCAGTTTCTTGTTTCATCTTCAATCATCACCTAGTGTCAATACAAGTCTGCCAAACCACGGTTATCTTAGATATTTAAAATGATAATTATCCATTAGACTATGTATATTTAACGTCTAGACTGACGTGTTCCGTATTCTGTAGGAAAATAACAAGAATATTTACACCACAAATTTTTATTCAGTTCTTTGAAATTTGATTGCATGATTTGAAACCAATGCTTATTTGTTTGATTGTTTGTTGGATGACTTTAACCTATAACTATACCCATAATTAAACCACTTATCTATCCATAATTTGGTACATATATAAAAGATTTATTTACTTGATTTAAGTGATTAGCTTCTAGTTATCAAATAACTAAAAAGATCGAGTAATGAATCTTAATTATTTAACTTTCATGCCTTTGTCATATGTATCAGCCCGGACTGGTGAACTGTCACCATATCACAGTGTGAATTCAATGCATAGCCTACCTACAGTAACATCACATAGTGTTGGACACTACGATGATTTTGAAACAATTGATTGGGTCAAGGATATTGCACGTGATCGATGTCGACATCGTGAATTACATATGAATAGAGTAAGTTTTTCGGTTTTCTCATCGAAGTTTTTTTTAACATTTTCTTTATGAAGTGGTTGTAATATCGTAAAAATGGTTTTCTCTCAGCGAAATAATCCAGTTTAGTATATACACCTTAAAAGTAGCGAAGTTGTAAGCTTAAATGCTCCATTTCCAACTGCTATATAAAAAATTTGAACCCTACCCCACAAACTAACATCTGAGCATATAAACAGTACCATTATTTTTCCCATAGCAGGTTTGCTTCATAACTCAGTTTACAAACTTGCACTCAGTTCTTAAGTTGTATCGTATGTGGATTTCACGTTTTGGAAATCAAGCAAACCCTGACTTCAAACTGAATACTGTATATTGTTTTTCAGCATGTAGTAGCGATAAATAGCACCTAGCTGTACATATGTAGTCACCAAATACTTAGTGAATGCAACTCGCCATGTCCTTATATTGCATATAATTATATATATATATATATATATATATATATATATATATATATATATATATATATATATATATATATATATATATATATATATATAGTGTCTTAGATTAAGGAATGTCCATGAAGTCTCCTAAGATGATCGTCTAATTCTACTTTGATATTTTATTTTATTTCCTCCCCCCACTACTACAATGAAAATAAAGAGTAATTAGACTTTGTTATAGCTTTCTATAGGAAGCAATTCACGGCATTTTAAAATGTATTACAATATTGGATATGTCGCTGGATGTCTTAGGTTATAGACCGCGTAGTTTGCTGACAAATGTGAATATTCTTTCACTTGTTATGTTTAGAACACTTGGATGGTATCACCACTGTCACAACTAATGTTACTCCAAGTCCATTGCATTAGTTTTGCACTAGGACCACGGTTTGCATCCATTGTTCTTATCAAGAGAACTGACCGTGAATTTTCTGGTAGTATTAATGGTTATCGGAGTTCATTTATGTCATCAAACTATTTGTTTTCAACACATGTCAGACTTACCATAATTAGCTCACTAGAAATGACGTTTTTCTCAGAACCCATAAAGAACACGTTGACTTTTCGTTCTCGTTATCGTTTCCTGCTACTCAATGCAGCCAACTATAAGGATAGTATTTAACTTGAAATAGTTTTCCATCTGTGTGTGGTTTGTAAAAAAACAACATTATTACCTATCTGACTTTTAAATTGATCCTTCATACACTAATTGATATGCACAAAGATTCATCTCTCATGAATTCCATATGGTTTTTCATCTTATTTTATTCAAATCATTAGCAGATGTTACACTAACCAAAAGGGACCTACTGTGCATCTTCAACAACGATGTGATTATGCTTAAAACACCTTCGTACTTTTTCACTGAAGTGTGCATCACTGCTTTGTCTAACAACTCACTTTTCTAGGTGTTTGTGTAAGCCCTGATGACGATTTACAGGATTAAGTATCTTTGGAAGTGATGAACTATCTTCTGATGACTGGAACAGATATTACATATGCTTATTTACAGTTTATCTTAGCACACTGTCCTAGGTGGATTAGGCTCAAGTAGGAAGAAAATCAATTTTTGGCCAGACAAAGGCAACTCATGAAGTCATCGATTACTGGTCTTGTTTTGGTAGGTGAGAATATCGATATCGATGGTTGAAAACTTTTGACTACATGACTCAAAATCAGTTGTGTAGATGTATCTACACTTTATATTCAGCTAAATTTTAACTGTCTCAGTTTCGCTCTCCTTATATACTTTTTTCTCTCATCTTTTCATCAATACTTACCTCATCGCTTCTTTTTCTTTGTGTTTCTCGGCTTCCCCACACTAATCTTATGGTGTGACAACTGTAATCGGAACGAATTTTCTCTAGGTTTTACTTTATCACTAACTATCGATTTCTGCTTAAGCAATCACAAATTAAGGTGAATTTTACTAGGTTTCATCAGTTTCCCTGATCCTCATGATACATGAATGCTGCTTCAAAATAAAGCATAATTTAGCGGCTACATACAATCGTTACCCATCACATCCGTAACCCTGTGTATGTATGTCTCCATTCGGGTTTTACGTGCTCAACAAATAGTTATCCCTGGAAGTATACTTCCTGTCATCTCATAGTTTAACTAAGAGTTAAACAAAGGAGCCGTCTAAGTGTCGCATCGGGAAATTACGAGTACCAATAAACAGTGACTGATATTCGTTGCACAAGTGGTCGTTCTCATGCCTCAGTGGCTAGCGCATAACGCTTTGGCGTTTGCAGCGATGAATACTGGGCTAGAGTCTTAGTGGGAACAACATCACTCATTGGGGTACAGGTACACACAGTTGACGAGTCCTAAATAGGGCGAAATGCGCGTCCTTAATTCCACTGGTAGTCATCAGGTGGACCACAATAAAATGAAGATCCATCTAAAAATTTAAATGGATGTTCTTTATTAGCATACCTTTTGAAAATGCTGCTGAAGTGAAAAATATGCACTCACTGAATAATGAATAGGCAAGCGTGGAACATCGCATAAAAGTGCATTGGTTCAAGTTTCTATTTTTTCCAATAACATAGAAAAATGAAATCAACACGAGTAACATTATATCGAGTAAACAATCAGATTGTGACGGAAAGAGAAAGGAGCTTATAAAGCATAATACAAGTTCTTTTTTCAGTGGCAAACAAAGGGGGAAATTCTACATAACTCTGAATAGTTTTCAGCCACTCTACTCAGCGTTTTTAAGTGTGGATTCTGAGATGATAACATCACCTTGACGACAAGGGATTCTTCAGCATGACTATAGATTGTCTTGTTTTGTCGCTAAATTGTGAACAAAAGTGGATTGTATTACGACGGTGGTAAATAAACTTTTCAACGTGAATCACGTGATTTTGTCAATGCCCACAGACATCACTTTCAGCTGACTACGATTTTCTAAACTATTCTTTACCAGACTATAATTTTCTACGCGTATGAACCACGTGCCAAATTGAATCCAAGACATGATAACATCAACATTCACCAGAGGTGCCTTTTTGCTTTGCAGTTTATACACTGTATAAATGATTAACAGCTTCATAAGATTGTAAATTAGATAGACATCATGTAGGTATTTGAACTCGAAAAGTTGGGGTTGTAATTTTTATTGAATTAGCTATGACTTTTGAGATGTGGGAGAATAATTAGCAAGTTGACAAGAAACTTTCAAAATGACTATGGAGTAATACTGTAAACGCTCCGTAATTTGTCTGCAAAAATAGGTGTAATAACGGACCAAAATAGATTTTACAAGACTGACACGAGTTAGACAACAGTGGATTGCCTATATAACTGTCTACTCGTTAGTGGTGAGCAATGACGAAGGTCTGTCGGCCAAGTTTGCTATTCGTCCATTGAGGTCACTGACGTAATGCTGCTGGTTCTCTCCCATGTATTGTGTAATCATCTGATTTGTATCGTAGGGATTCATTTTTAAAGAAAAAGTGATCTTCAGAGCTAAGTTCAACTGATGCAAAGACTTCCGTTTTCACTGGTTATGTTAGGCTGAAGAACTATCTATAAATAAAAATAGAAACTCTTCATTCAAAAATGTTTTGTGAAAGCTGTTTTCCTACCCTATCCTTAATAATGATTGCCATTTTGCATGATTATTTTTTTGCTAGCTTTTCTGACTAACCATCACTCTTCTTCTAGAATTATCCAACCTTATAATCCTAGCTTTCCGAACCATGGTAATCTCTATTCTTTTTATTATTTGATTGATAATCAGCCTGTAAGCGGCTGAAGATTGTACAACGAAATACAAAGTGTGTACTGTAAACTTTGTTCTTATTGCGCTATTTAACTTCTTAATTGGAATCAAATGTACGAAGACGTTCCATTTTACTGTGTAATTTTTTTATTACCATTATTTTATATATCACTGATAGCTCTTGGTCCAACTGCTTGACCCTAAAAATTAATTTTCGTCTTCAGCGATCTTTTCTTGCCATTTTGTCTGTTTTAACTTTCTCTCTATCTCTGTCATGTTTGTTGACTGAGCAATTTTGATTGTATAAGTGTGCAGCATCTCAATAAAGTTGTTGAGAAGAAATATTTCTCTGAAAAATCGCTTTATTTACTTATTCGTGAGTAATATATGTAACTGAACTATATGAAGACTTACTATTGGAGATGTAAATAAGACTTACCGATTCAGAAATAATGTACACTGCTTTATTTATGGTCAACAGTGCATCCTGATGACGACTTTAAGATTACCATGATATATATATATATATATATATATATATATATATATATTCTAGAACTGTACAAAATACGACAAAGTATCATTTCATATCTTGGTCACCACAATGCACTACCTCTGATCGATAGACTTCCTAAAACTTTAGTTTTGCATTAGTTACCATTCAACGTCATTGTTTTATAAATTAATGTCTGAACAATTCCCCTATTTAATTGATAGATTTTTTGCGATGTATTTGTCTTTGTTCAAGGTCTATTGTATTTAATTTAGAGAACTTCACATGTGTAGCTGGCGATGTAAACATTCTTTCCCCCCCCCCCCTAAAATACTTTCCTTTTTTCTAGAAAACTTGTTGTGGTGGAATAAAAGCTTGTTGGGATTCTGCATCTGGATGGTTTTGTGTTTTATGTGTTGGCCTGGTAACAGGTTTCATTGCCCTGATTATTGATATTGGATCTACATGGATGTCTGATCTAAAAGAAGGTGTCTGCTTGAATGCATTTTGGTTCAATCGTGAACAGTGTTGTTGGTCGTCAAGCCAAGCAGATGATGTTTGTGATCAGGTAGGCAAGTGGATCGATGGCGATGTATGTTTTCTTCTGAGTTGCATTTTTGTATAACTTGAAATTGAAAGAATTTCTTGCTAAGTCAATAAGTCTGTCATAAGATATAGCTGTCTGTTGGTTCTAGCCCCCAATATCAGTAACTCCACATATATGGGGCGAATAAAACAGAGTTCCAATGCTTAAAAGGGTTTTTTTTTTACCATTTTTCAAAGTTCATTTGGAAAAGCGTTTGCAAAATTGTTAATATTGTTTAATGGTGTTGGATATAATTTGGATAAATCTTCTCTAAGTCATTTTCATGGAGCTCTCCTAATGAATAACACTCCAATGTTTGAAACTATGAATGTTGAACTAGGGTTTAAGCATTCATATCATCACTCAATGAGATTGTGGATGCACCCGTGTTACTAATCTTAATTGTGGCAAAACTCACATTCAGAATTCCACAGCTAACTACTACCCAATATGCATCCACATGCTCATCTATGTGATAAATTTCTTGTTTAGAGCAAACTAAGATTTGTGATTGATTGATATATTTTCAAGCCAACTAAGACTGTAGAAGAAATTCGAAGTGTCGACTACTCTTATTTTTCTTTGGAAAATCAGTGATGCAAATGAAGTATAGTTCTAAAAACTCAGCATTTTTTTCTTTAATTGTAAAGATACGTTATTATTTTGAGGACTTTCCCTTGGCTATACGTTTTTTTATCGAACAAAAGTCATAGGAAAGGATACTAGAAACCATTGAGTTCGGTCTTTCTTCACATATAGATCCTTTCAATTCGCCTCCAAGTCAACATTAACCCCCAGATCCCATGCGATTTCTCAGTATTTAAGTGATATATTATAAAGAATGATGGGAGATATTCTTATGATGTGTGTGAATATATTCATCTTGACAACTAGCAGTGGAATCCACGACGGTCGTTTCGTTTCATTAGAACTCGTCAGCTGTAGGTATATGCACCCCAGCGAGTGATGTTGATCCTACCGAGACTCAGACCCGGTGCCCATCGCTTTAAACTCCAAAACGTTATCCACTAGACCACTGGGACACTATTGTTACCAAGATGTATATAACATCATGAATATTCGACAGTATCGAGGCATCCGCATAGAAGCCCATCTGCCAACAGAGGTTGAGCGATTCGGCCCTGTCTAGCAACGGAAAATAGCAGGTATCAAAACAACTGTGCAAATTGATATTTTATATATGTGCATCTTCGTGTAACTAGGATAATCCCAGTGAACTAAGCAGTGACAAAATAATAATCACATAATTCTATTATTGTATTCATTTATTGCCATTGTCAAATGGTAACTGACATAAGTGATTCATTGTCTTCTTAATTCATATTTTTGTTTTTGTCTGCCGTCAAACCACGTGGTACCACGTGCTCACTAAGGAATGCATCATCGACTCACCCATCATGCTCAAGTTCGTTCACTCGGTAATTAGCCACACCCTGTAACATTGCTTGTGTGGTCAGAAGGTGTGGCGGGTTGCAAACCCTTGACCTTCAATATATTTTTATAACTAGCTAACTTTAATCTTCTTATAATTCAATTTTAGTGCTAATGATATGAGAATTTAAAGTTTTTGATGGGTCGGTAACATGTGTTATAGATATCTGAGCCCCTGGTTAGAGTTACATGAGATGAGTTTGACTGTTAAAAAATGGTTTTGTGTCCAATGCTTTCGTCTTTGCATTACTGGCTCATCAAATTAATAGTAACTTCTGTGAAGTTAATTTTTTTTTTGTAATATTGTAGGTCTTAATCCGTTGAATTGTTTTTATTTTTCCCAAAAATCATAATTTATTTGGTGTGATCCTTTTTTTTGTTGCATGCAACACATTTACCTGGCGGCCTAATAATTTCTGACAATAAACTTCATGTATACGAGCGCTTATCATCACTAGAACTAACTGAAATAAGCAGCTTTGAAAGATATGGAGATAAAACGTTTGATAAACAAGTTCACATTGACACATGAACCATATTCTCATTTTACTAGGCTGTTATGATGACATTATACAGGGATTTATGAACATTGTAAAAGTGAATCAGAGTTTGATGTGTTCATCTCACATGTCAAAGTAAAAAAGAATACTTTAAGAATTGGTGGTTACATTAAATTTCAGCTTTTGTGAATTACTTCACTTCCAAGTTAACTTGCATCAGTATCAACGGTTTAGTCGAGTGACTTTAAATGCCACAACTAAAATGATTGATTAGACTTCTCTATTTTACGAAAAACCTCCCTTTTCAGCCGAAATGGAGAAATCTAGTTGATTATTTCAATCATCGCTAGGGGATCCGTTAAATCCCCCCCCTTTAATCAGGTAGTATCGTCAGATGTCACGAACTAGGTGCGACTTGTTGCCTGTTACAAAAACTTGCACATGGTTGTCTGTAGTTTCCACTAATAACACATCTTCGTTTCCACTCGGAGCCAAATTTTTAATGACTGATTGACTGTTTGTTTTCGCCAAAAAATACCTTCAATTTATCCATAATATGTGGTTGAAATACCAATATATTAGCCCGTATATTAGGCACAATAATTTCAACAAGACTGTTGATTTAGAGCGTGCCGAGACTTGATTAAGCTTCTGATTCCTACCATCACTCGATTTCTGTCATGAGATATTGATACTACAAAGCTTCACTGCAGTTTTATGTGAATGACTCGAAAGGCTGCTCTAGCAGTCACTGAGATAGCCAATCGGGTTTCTGTATTTCTCCTAGAAAGATCGTTTTTCATAAAATATGGAAATCGATAAGCTATTTCTGTAGTTATTAGGATGGCTTTAAAAGTCACTCATGAAGAGTGACTTTAAAGGCGACCGTTGCAACTGCTGAGATAACCATTCATGGTTTTTCATTTAAAAAATAACTACCTTCACAGCCGGAATACAGAAAGCTGATTGACTATTTCAGCATTCGCTAGCGTGGCACTTAAAGTCGCTCCTCATGCAGCATACTGTGATTAAGATGCTCTAAAATCGACTCTAGAGAACATTCAACATTTCTAGTGACTTTAAAGACCACCCTACTAACTCTTAAGATAACTAATTAGGCTTCTCTATTTTACGAAAAACTACCTTTCTAGCCTAAATAACGAAACATGATTGGTTATTTCAGCAGTTGGTAGGGTGATCTTTAAAGTTGCGTCATACTTCGGTGCTAAAGTTAGTTTTTTCATGAAATAAACGAATACAATTATTTATTTACAGTTGCTAGGATGGCCTTGAAATCAACCCTCGCTACAGGTTTTTAATTACCAGGGTATTAATCATATATCCTCTTTGGGGGTTTGTCTGTATCACGTTTTGCTATTTTAATGGGTAGAGGGGGTGGATTGACTTGTCATACACTGGTCGAAAGTCACACAGTTAGTAGAAGTAGGTTACTCTAATTACTCCACCTACATCTCTGTCACTTCAAGAATCATTCGGGAATAGATCAAGGGTAGTCGAGCAAAGTGTGGCATCAGGGTGTGAATTCTCTTTCCCTTTCACTCTCAGTCGTATGGCCTCTTGGTTGTTGGTTTGAGGTTATGAATCAAGAGTTTTTTGTTGCTTAGGTTGTTACAAAGCCAGTCAAAATCCATTCATCTTTCTTAATGCTTTGAAAGCTGAACCCAATACGATTCTGTTACCTTCTGTCTTGGTATTATCCGTTTTGTGTATTAAAGTTGACACCGATGTTTAAGTGACAATGCCTTGATGTTATTTATCACTTGACCTGCTGACATTTGCGACACTATTGTCACTCTCATCTTGAACTGCAAATATTCACTTTTTCTATTTCACGAAGTATATATTTGTTTGATTATAATTTTGTTTACTTGTATTTCAGTGGTATACATGGTCTCGGCTCTTCATAAATAAAGATCCAACCGGTGAATATCCAGATGCGTATTTTGTTGGTTATCTTTTCTACATCCTATATGCTGTATTGTTCGCTCTGGTTTGTGTATTACTTGTTCGTATGTTCGCCCCATACGCCTGTGGTAAGTCAAGAATGGTTACGCATTTGTTTATGGATTGTAAAGTGTAATGTTTATTGATTTTATAAAGTCACATGTGTTACCATGGTATAATATGCCAAAACTTTCAAATTGCCGGCTAACAAATGTTGGCTCAAAGCCTGCTTCTCTATGGATGATTTTATCCAGTCAGTCATGATTAATACATGACGCGGCGTTACTGCTTAACTGTCCATGTTGCCACATGTCAGCAAATCAAGATCGGAGGCTCCAAGGTGAAAGATGGAGTACTAAGAAATAAAACAATAAATATGGTAGAGAGTCGTAGCAATAGTGAAATTCGGCACAACAATTCAGATGAAGATAGTGGGTGGATACGACTACGTCATTGAGATCGCTTTTGAGTCACTTAGAGTATACAACGAAAATAGGTGACTGACTTGTTGCTGTGCTAGCTGCTTCACAGTCCAAATGTAGAACATTTGACAGAATCGTTGCTAGTCTGAATGATAGGGGGAAGCAAGCATGACTGTAAAGGCCACCTAAGCAGCACATATATATTGGTTTGTGAAACAATTTTGACGCCACTAAGTCCGAACATAAAATCTTTTAAACTTATACACAAATGAAATTAGTATCTTACAGTACTTCGAGGTGTCATACATCCATCCTATCCAAATATATCTACTGCTAGAATAACCTAATCATGATAACCTTACAATTTGCAGTATGCCTTGTACTAGTTACTAAATTCTTCGCTCTAAACGGTCGTATGTTTAGCAGGAGTCGCAACATTTGCTTCAGTTACTCTCTAAACTTAACAACTCTCCCATAGTTGTTGCAAGTGTAGTGGGCGTTGATGATAAGAATCGATTAAAGTAGTATGTGTTGAGGGGGTGACATAAATCATAGGGAATTACCAGCAATTGGTAAGGAATCTGCCAAGAGAAACGCAAGAGACAACGCGGGCGTATGAAGAGCAAATCACAAGAGAAGCCGAAGAGGAAATGAAGCACATTTTTCAAATGACTGTCTTAGTGCAAGGCGTACCGTGTTTAACGACTGCGGTACCAGTCGTTAACAATAAACATTCCTTCCGTTGTCTCTGTCTTCTCGTTTCCTTTCACAGGTATTTCAAATAGATGTGGCTAATAATCTCAACTGTACATGTGATCTCAGTACCAATGATCTGGAGAGCGTTTCATTGGTAAGCAATCCTTCTACAGTGTAACCGAGGGAAGGAGTGACCTTAAAGGCTAGCATGGGAACTACTAAAATAATCAATCGAACTTTCTTATATTTTGGCTGAATATTTCATCTTGTGTGAGAAGAATACTCTTGTTAACTTTAGTTGCACTTCGTAATTCACATTTACTTGCGGATTTAAGTGCATAGGAAGGAAGGAATTGCGGTTATTCACCAGGAGTTTGGAATGTGTATCTGGACGATCTATACTTTAGAATCTCAGCCTCAGTTAACAGTGCGACAGCAAGTCACCTAGTTTATCCGCATCAGTGGGTCAACACAACGAGATTCGTTATGGCAGTGACAGACAAAGGATTTCGTACCTCCGAATTTTCGACGCTGTTGACATCCAATGAATTCGACCCCAACTATGTTTTTAAAAGAGGACACTGATTTATCACTGCCCTGGTAGGGAGTGACTTCACTCTGTCACATTTGCCCATTCATAATAACCATTGTTTCATTTTCGCAGCAATTTATCCCAACAGGTCTTCGTTTTTTCACATGTTTACGTAACCGTTTCTACCTATATCTATCTCTTATCTCACTCGTTTCAGAACATTCTTTGCCTTACCTTATACTGTATGTCTCTAGCCTGACTGAATTTTTTAATCGCCATCTCCTGCGTATTGTAAATTGAAATATTTTCTGTGATCTTCAAAACATTTATATCTAAAGAGTATTCATATAAAGTATGCTAGCATTTATAGTAAAGGTGGATGGTGGCTGGCAGTGGAATCCAGAATCCGCATTTCGTCCTATCTGGGACTCGTTAGCTGGATGTACTTGCCTCCCAGTGAGTAGTGTTGTTCCCACCGGGATTAAATACAAACAATTATACTACACTAGCATTTGTTATGGTAATTATTTACACATTTATCTGGGTTGTATGCATCTCTTGGAAATCCTATGAAATGGGATGATGCCATTTCATCCTGAAAATATTGTTCTTATTTCATTGTTAGAACAGACAACCAGACTGGACAGTGATACAGAAAATTGTATTACTACCTGACTGCCACATTCTCACACTTGACATCAGCACACTTAAGGTGGAGGTTGAGATGTGGGAATTTAAAGAAGTGAATATATTATCAGAAGTTATGAAAAGTGAGTTGTCAAAATACAGACGAAGAGTTAGGATGTGTATGAATGTTATGCATGCATGAATAAATCCGCACCACTGAAACGTTCTCTTAGCCTTGTGACATGTAGCTTACAATCATAGTTATCAGTTATCTCAAGGGTTGAAAACAAAAAAACTCTTCTTTTCATGTATTCCTTATACTGACATTCAGATAGACTATTTATTACTTCTATGTTTTGACCTGTCCACGATTGATTTTTTCCAACCTAGTCCTACTATGATAGACATGCTCGGTTATTCGTAGGTGTGACATAAGTTATACATTGTGAACCACAAACTCATGAATCAACTGCTTTCCTTTGCCTACGACTTTTCATACTTTTCACTTTTAATATCGGTGTTTCATAGCAGTAGAACAAAACCTTTATACTTCGCAATATACTTGACCCCTAGTAGCCTGTGGAGTATCACACTTTCACTAAAAATGGAGTCATTTGGTAATAACCAATATAACCTTTTGTATCCATTCTAGGACTTCATCGACCACTAACCTGCTAGGGTTGATCCGACTTCTCAGGTAGATGAAGTGGTCATCGCACGCAGTCACTTCACTCCCTATTATCGAATTGAGGAACATTACATCACTGCAAAAAACGATTAGTCGTTGTGAAACACGGGAAAATCATCATTCTTATATTCAGGTCTTCTTTCATGTCTGCCAGCTCACTTTATTCAATAATAATTCGCTGTTGTGATGTTACTCGGAATGGGTGCTTAATAGATTACTCGATATTTTAAGTGCCTCTGTTAGATCATCTTCAGTCTGTTGGAGTAACTACCTTTACTTCAAGCAATATGGCTAAGCGATACATGGTATGTGAACTTTATTCAGTGAACCATTGGTTTCTTCCTTCCTCTACACAAAACTGTCAGCACAGCAGTTTTGTTAGCCGAACTGCATAATACATAATCCAATATGCAGTATATGTATATGTATTCGTTTTATCTATGTTTATTAATCCAACAAATGTTTAGGTAATTTACTACTGATTTTTATGTTTGTTTTCTGCTGTAAATTGCAAGAATTAATTAACTAGAATGCAAATTTATGCTTGTTTAGTAAACAATGTGTCACATATGAATTTATTCATTTTAGTCTAGAATTTTTCATATTTCTTTTATTACGCAAAGTTGTTATGACCAAACTACTGCAAAGCAAACTGTTTTAGTACGACTTCTTTAACGTAAGGGATGTGAAATATGCTTGTTAACATCCCATGTTTTGGTTTATCTTCCAGTGATTTCCATTACGAAGTAAATTTTTTCGGTGTTTGCAGGCTATTGTTTCTTGAAGGTTGGTGCTGTGTGATGAATTAGGGTTTTCGCACTTTTTTTTTCAAATCTACAAATCGAAAAAAAGCAACAACCACTCAGCTACGTTGTACATGTTCGTGCAGTAAGCAATGAACTACACCTAATGTGTGGGAACTAATGATATTATCTGACTGCTCTAACCTCGGTAGGCGGAGCAGTGTTCGAACTCATGACCTGCTAGCTGAAAGTCAAATCTAAGCCGAATAAGCCATAACTCCAATCTGTATGTAGACAAACATACATTGTCAGTATAGGACATGGTATCAGTGCCTAACATTTCAAAATACCATAGCTCATATTAAAGCATCAATGCATACGGTAATAAGACACAGGACAAGAATGCAAACGATATGATGAAAGCCACTGGACAGGAAGAAAACACATCTAATCCAAGAAAGAGAAGTGATATAACGACTATGGTGAAGATACAGCCAGCTGCTTCTTCTTCACTGCGACCATATGTCAGCCATATTACCTAGATTCTCTTATCATCGAATTCACTTGTCACATTGACCTCCAACGAACACATTAACAGTTCTTTAAATAGCTCAAACCAACAGTCACTGACATTATGATCTGATTCCGTGTTTTAGTTTGACCATCCCTGGCTTTTTTTCAGCTTGTTTCTTATTCTCCCAGCGTAGTGTTTTGAGATCGACGTTTATATTCACAGATCAAATAATAAAATGTGTAACATTTCAATTTCAGATTGATTGTTGATTAAACTTTTAATATGACGGGTATTATGCTGTGCTGGAAACTTCATTTAAATTCTTATATCGTTATAAAATTGAGAGAACAATTAATTGTTTATATTTTGAAGTTTGTGGAGATTTATTTATTCACTTCAAGTCGGTATTCATCACGAACCGACATCGGTTGGCGAACTCCTGAAGACCTGGGAATACGGTACAGCTGTTTCGTTTTAGTATGGGACTATTCAGCAATGCGCACCCATGACCCAACCAGGGGGGAGTCCCCATACTAGAACGGAACGGCTGTCCAGTACTCAGGTTTCCAATGGTTCTTCAACTGACATCAATCTATGACGTTTTATATATATATATATATATATATATATATATATATATATATATATATATATATACATGCAGAGATGTGTATTGTGTTTGGTTATCAAGAAATAGAATATAAGGTTTGAGAAGAACACTTTACTCGAAGGATATATCAATTTTTCTGCTTGGGACCTATCTACATTAATGTGTACATTTTACTAAAATGATCTCACTTAAGTTGTAGCGCATTTTAGGCAAATAAATATGACATAAGGTACATGTTTTGTGAAATATCTATCTATGTAAACATTTCAGTATTCGGCTCATTACTTCTTTATCTGTTGGACTGTTTTAGCATAGACGATCTTGTCGAAACAACGAAAAATGGTGTAACATGTAAGAATAAGTGATGTATTATGACAGGGATGTAGAAGCGGATGTTTGAACTTACTAAAATTGACTGGAAATTCTGTCCATTAACCAATGGTTTCAGGTGTTTGTTGGGTTTTATGTCTGTTTGTTAAGCCAGACATCTGGATTATTGGATGTAGAGGGTTACCTATAAGAGACCTCGATAGATCTAATTTCTAACTAATGGTCTATTTTAGCTTCAGAATGTTGAAGTAACAAATTACTTATCAACTTTTTCGATTCACTAGCTGCTGCCACTACCGTGTGGATTAGACTTGAAGCCAAAGATTTTGTTGGTAATTTTCACTTACAATGATTTAAATACATCGACAGCATCGCAACTTTCACACAAACTGTGATAAGTGTAGTTCATTTCTTGCCGTCCCCATTGTACGTTGATTTTTCCTCTTAGATGAAATCCAGAGGTGTAAGAAATAATACTAGAAAGAAAGTGCAATAAAAACAAGTAGGATCAAAGCAAATGAATCCTGGTTATTGATGTTGGTAGTTGATATATGTTGTCTTTCTAACCTTACGTGTCAAAATTCCATCCTACACCCTTGATAGCCTAAATGGATGTGTAAAGCATTAGTAATATGCTTTTGTCCTGAGAATTCGTGATATTTTGTTAGTTATTGACATGTAAAAACTTGAATTCTTCTTTTCTTTATTATTTTTAGGTAGTGGTCTTCCTGAAATTAAGACTATTCTTGGAGGGTTCATCATTCGTGGATATTTGGGTAAATGGACTCTTCTGATTAAATCAATTGGTATGATACTCAGCGTTGGTGCTGGCTTAAATCTTGGTAAGGAAGGACCTATGGTTCATATGGCTGCATGTGTTGGCAATATATTTGCCTATTTCTTCCCTAAATACGGTCAGAATGAAGCTAAGAAACGAGAGGTGAGTTTATTTTGACTCTATTAGTCTGATAGCACAATGTTCAGACCTTAACGGTGACTAGTTTTGTACTTCTCTAAGGGCTTCTATTCCGTAGATTTTAAGATCGAATCCTTTTGAGGATTTCAAGTTTTTTTAAAATCTATTACTTTCCGTCGTAGTGTACCCACAAGCCTTTCAGGTTTTGTTGAATCGATATTTTTCTGGTTAATGTTATACTATAAGATTGTTGCTTTAAGAACTCAGTCTGTGTTAAGCTATTACTTTGACGAAATTAGATCAGGGGGGAACCACACCGCCCGTTACAACCTAACTAGTTTACTGGTGATGATTATCCATAACCTTTAATGTCATGATGCTGGTAAGTTGCATTTTCAGGCAATATTTACACATAACAACCTAGTATGTTCACTTTGATTAAGATGACAACAGGCTTTACTGATAATTGTCCTATCGTTTGGATTCACTGACGGATTTGGCCTTTGTTGGAGAACAAAATACACGTTACAGTTCGCCTAATACTTGTTCAAATCACTGGAAGGTCTTTGGAAACTTGATGTTGACTGTCGTAAGTTAGCAAACGTTGAAATGACGACACCTTATTTTACAATCAAATCCTTGTTAATGAACATGAACAGGGTGAGTGGGAGAATGTATTTTCACTCAATAATTGAAATATCAACATTTTTACTATCTATCTTCTCCATTGTTATGCTACTTACAAAGTAATTCATCGAGATACTTAGTTACATACGAGTGCGATTTAAGCAGTGCGTTAAAGTATAACAGCATTTTAGCTCTTTTATCACGCATACCACAGTGGGAGAGTATGGTTTCCAGGTTGATGTTTCAAACAGCCACATTTTGCGCATAATCATGCCAAGACAGTCGCATAGTTTTCTGATTTTGTTATAGTTCTGATTCTTTGCATACTCTGATTGTATTGCTAGTAAAATCTTCTCACATCGGGGTTTTTTGTTGAGTTATTTCTATGACATGTGTTGGTTGTCGATTTGTTTAACGAAGCTTCAGTTATCAATCTCTTTCTTTACTTACCCACGTAATTTTTCGAAAATCTTATTAGTCTTATTCATCTTATTGTATAACAGCATGTGTGGCTTTGAACAAGCTCTTTTGACTTCTCATTGTCTAGGGTCTACTATTTGACATTCAGCTATATATTCATGTTTTGCCAACTCTTTTCGGCTAGTTTGATCTGTGTTTAACCTCATAGTCATTAGATGGAATCTGGTAGACCTAACTGCTTTATCTGTTAGCCTCGATAAAATCCTTTCGCCTACATAGCTTTTCTTTCAGTTCGAAGGTTTACGCGCCACTCGAATACCGGTCTTGTTGAGAATCCGTTGTTTCTTGTTTATACAAAGAGAATATAGAGGCTTTAAATTCCTTTGCTCTGGTTTTCTCACTATTATTACTATTGTCCGTAATTATATTACTACTATTTTCTTTGCTAATAATTCTTAGTTATATCTGGATAAAAATGCAGTAGTTGTTGAGTTGTAGTACTTCTTTTATGCGTTTCACTTCTTGAACCATATTTCCTAACTTATTGATCAGTCTTCATGTCATCATCCAAGCTTTTGACTAAGCCTTCTTCAACTGATTTAGGACTGGATGACATGAAGCCTAAATATCGATTAGAGTGTGAAAAATTTTTGTGGATACTAGTACTTGAACTTCTGTTTGATGATTCCTCCATCCTTCATGACTGTCTAGTTCATGTGTGAATCGGATTGTATCAACTACTAAGTTTGTGCAGAAGAACTTCGTTTATATGTTTATTGTGAATGTTGTCGTGTACATCCGTCCATCACACTTTGGAAGCATGGTTAAGTGTCCTTGGGGCAATGCGTGTTCAACTGTCACTGAATGTCTGCTGCAACCAGGCAAATTAGTTCCCCCGTGACCATTTATTCTGTATATTTTATCTTGACACTTTAAGACTGTAGAAGTCAGGGATAATTACACTCCAAGGATAAGTTCTTATACTAACACCTTGAATCTAAGTGTGAGCTTTTGGTCAGCATTGAGTTCATTACTATTTTTCTTAAAAGAAATATTGAGTGATGTAAAGGGTTCTCATTTCGAAACTAACCTTTTTTCATTTTCTTATCGAATGTCACCAATCTTTGTTTTAGTTCGTTGTCAGTTGAATTTCAGCAGCTAAACGTTCAAGCTAACTCATCATAACTAGTCAATTATTACCATCCAAAATGAAGCATTGTAGTTCAACAAGCACTTGCAGGGTTGTCTTATTCCAAAGAGTAACGCTTATCATGCCGGAGATTATTGTTGTACCTTTAATTAGTTAGATCGTAATCCACGTATTCTCAGTATAGCTATGTTCCGTCCATTATTCGTTCTAATTAGATCAAACTGTCCATGTCTTTTAAGATCTCATGTATTATTACGTGTATTGGGAAAGTATTATTTCATTCCTTGTGGGCTAATAAAATTGATGGTCTTTCTCAAATGTGCACTTTAATGTCTATATGTTTTGGTTTCACAAATCTTCAGTAAGAAATAAATAACAATTGTGCATCCTCATTAGTGAAATATAATTCCTTGCACCTTACCGGTCATCAAATACGCAAAAAAGTGACAGTGAAGTCTTTTCTAGCGCTTCTCGTATTACTTGTTTGCATAGACATCACTAGGTGCATCCAAATTAGAACCTGTTACCTCGATGAAAGTCAGTCGTCTATTCTCAAAGCCACTACTCCACTTCCTCATCTAATTCAATTGCTTTTTGTGTATTCCAGTTAATTAAAGATGTAAGTTTTCACGTAGTTCGAGACAATCAACAGGAAACCCTGCAATTAAGTTTTACGCTCATCAACGAATTCGAGGCAACTGCCAACTACTTTCAACGATCTGATACCGAATGCTGTCAGCCACACCAACTATGTGAGAGCTAATAATACTACCTAGCTGTCCAAACCTTGGTAGGTGGAGCGGTATTCGAACCTGTGACTCGAAAAGAGATACAATAAAATATATTACCCTTTAGTGATTACTCGGTGTAGAGGCAATCCTTTCTCACTACTGTGCTGTTGTGGTTGCAGGATATGTAAGTTTTGACTTATAAAGGAATCCCAAAGTACTACTGAGAAATGTTGAATTATTATTATTATTTGTCCGTACATTCGCATTCGTTTTTGCCCAGTAGCCTTTTAATTCGTGTTATTTCCTGATGAAAAAAAAACTTTTAAAATCTGAGGTGTTCTCTAGAGTCAATTTGAATAATAATTCCCCAGTTATGTTTTCTCTAATATTCTATGTTGTTTGATCAATTTTTATATTCTTTTCACTTTCAAAAATTAGATCTTGTCAGCTTCAGCAGCTGCTGGAGTTGCTGTTGCATTCGGTGCGCCAATTGGTGGTGTTCTTTTCTCCCTAGAAGAAGCTAGTTATTACTTTCCAATGAAAACAATGTTTCGATCATTCTTCTGTGCTATGGTATCAGCCAATGTCCTTAGGATTTTGAATCCCTATGGAAGTGATAATATGATAATGTTCTATGTTGACTATCAAGCCCAATGGCATGTTATGGAGTTATTCCCTTTTGCTTTACTTGGTCTACTCGGGGTATGTGATGCTTTACTTATGATATTGCGGAAACAAAACATGAGTGTATTAGAAAATGTATTATATATTAAATGTAAATGTTGATGGTAATCATTATCTAATGGTAGTATTTCGATAATGTAAATCAATTGACAAAGAGCTCCACCTTATTATTAGAGTAAGAATAATCTGCGAACATGAAGGGAACTAATATTCATCTAAAGATATTCGATGCAAATTCTTTCAGTATCGCAGTTAAACAGGCCATCAACGAACTTATCACACCATCACTAGGTCACTGTACGATCTGGAATAAATGTCAGTTGGTACTTCATTAAGATAAGAAAAGGTTTAAGATAATTAGTTCTACTTTTGTTGAATCAGAATGCACGTGACAATGAGCCATATTTATTATGTGAGAGCTAATGACTCTCCAAAACCTTGGTAGGTGGAGCCGGGTTCGAACCCATGAGCCACTCGTTGAAAGTGGAGTGGCTGAACCAATGATCCATAGCTTCAACTTACTACCTACAAACCTTAATAATAATTTTACCGGAATAACGCTTTTTGAGAATGAAACCTTTTCAGATTCTTAATCTCATAAGTGAACAGGTAAAGTATAGCACCAGTAACCTATATGCAACTGGTTCATATTTTACTGTGATTCAAGTTTTATTTAGACTTCAATCATCTTTCAAAAGCAGTGAAATTAGTCTACCAAACTTCGACTATCTCATTCTAATCAGTGTTTGATAATACTTATTTACATGATTTCTACCGTTGAGTATATCTTGTGGATATCAGATGTGATTGATGCGTGCTGGATCCGACAACCTGTCAACTTGTATTATCTTTGGCTAGTTCAAGTGTGGTTTGTTATGTTACATCTAAGGTCAAGACAAGTGATTGTGTGTAAGCAGCGCACAAAATGATGTTCAACATCAGTCTATGAAGTCATTCACTGTTGGTTTGAGCCGATTAAGGAAATGCAGAGTCACTCACTTTCTTCTAGATAAGGTGTTCTAATGACTAAACATCATATTAGTTTAATCTTCTTTACATTCTGCTCCTTCTCCACTTTTTATTTTGTTTCAAATCCTACGTGGTTTTGCTTGGTCAGCTGTCATTAGTTAGTTTGGTATTTGCCAACGTGAATCACTTCTGGCACCGGTAAGATATTCTACTATCGAAGGATGAGTATACTGCGCAGCCTGTGTACTCCTTTCCAAGTGTGAAATATGACTGTTGAAAAAATCAAGAGGTTGCAGGTTTTTGATCATTAATGTCTTCTTAGAATAGCTTTTATATGGTGAAACCACACATATATAGCAGTGCTGACCTTAGGATTACAGCAATTACTAAGTAGTCATGACAAGCCATTTAGCGAAGTTGGGAGTCTTCACCGACTGAACTCATATCTGTGTATATTATGCTGAGCGATGCATCTCCTACCTCGACATGGAATGTTAATTGAAGTAAGGCAAGTCTAGGAAAAAGGGTAAGGGTAACCATACCGAAACGTGACACCAGTCCATGAAGTTTTGCGAATTGCGTTTAGCCGTCTATAGCAGTATAGGCTGTTTATGTGTGGTCGTCAAAACGCTTGGAATCAACAGTTGAAGCCTTTTGTTAGGGTAGTTTAAACCGATGGTCTTCGGTTCTTTTTAAAAACTATATTAACTTCGTTTTTCTCTTCCCGTTTGTCTTCGACACTTTTGTTTACTTTGATTTCATTCTTTTTCTACCCACTTTTTCTTTGAATGCCTCTATGAAGTGTGGCAACTTTGAGTGATGTACTTCTGAGCCAGGTTCTGTATTGATTTGTCTTTTTTACTTCTCAGACTATTGTGTTTTTTAATTTATTGAAGGACTTGTCTCTTTTTGGAAGTTCCATCCTCTCTTGTAATAGTTATCCAAATTATGCTTAGAATATGAGTAAAAACTCCGTTTAAAACCACATTATGACGGTACTAATAATAATATTTTTTGAATATCTAAAAGATTTGCAAGTATTTACCTCTATATCAGGGTACCTTGAATCACCTTGGAACACACTTATGTTGAAACTCTTACCTGATTTTTCTAGTTGGGTGATATAGATTTACTTCTTGTAAAAATCACATCAGTTCATATATGATTGGTGATCGATTATATCATTCTTCTCGTATGCTAACTAATCTTTAAGCATGTTTCCATTTCTATCCAGGGCATTTTTGGGACAATTTTCAACCGAGCCAATCTATATATTTGTCGTCTACGCAAATCTACTTGGTTGGGTCAATATCCTGTTCGTGAAGTGCTTGTTGTTGCACTAATCACTGCAGTCTTGTCATTTCCACATACTTATCTTCGTATGAATACTAGTGAATTGATTAAACTTTTGGTTAGTCGGTGTTCACCAGGGTCTGATTCTTCTCTATGGTAAGAATTATGTAAACAGTTAAACTCAAAAATGTGCATAATTCTGAGGTGATTTAGTCTTGCCGCATATGTTCCACTATTACTACCATAAAGTTGGACAACCCTAATCCTCCGCTGAAATTGGGTAACATGCGTAGTCAGTCTTAGGCTTCTTTTTATCTGATTGGTTAATTTTTACAGTTATTAGGTAGTTCAAACGTGTAATCTTGTTAAAAAAATATAACCTTTCAATTGATTATATGTCACAGCTTTGAAGAAAGAGATAATCACAGAAAATGGACAGGTACTAGAGTGAGAATGGTTATAAGTGGGATCTTGACAATTAGATTAAAAGAAATGAAATGTTCAGCAATATGAGGGAAGCAAATTCTGAGTACTAACACGTCTCTGAAATCAACTTTGGGGCTATATCTCTTTTGAATTTTGACAAGATAGCCCTTCTTCCAACCTCCAGGTACCTATCCTTCCTTCCAAACCTTCTGCAGCAGTGGTGTGAGCTTGTTCGCTCTTGTCTCCGTGTCTGTTTTCAGTGCTTCTGGCGGGATTCCATCTAGTCCTGCCGCTTTTTAGGATTTCGGCAGCTTTATGGTGTTCAGGACTTCGACTTTGTTGGAGCGTTTGTGATCACTGGTAGTTTTGTGACTCGGCTGCTTGAGGTATTTCTGGACGAGTTGCAGGTGGTGGTAGTGGTGGTCGATTCAGGAGTTTTTTGAAGTGGTCTGCCTATTTTTTCCTTTCTTTCTCCTCTTTGGTTTCGTATGCGTTGATCTCTTCCCAGATAGAGTAACCTGGTTATTTGATATAATGTTGTCAGGTCTCTCCTACCTGCAGCAGCCTGTTCTGCTTCACTTGCCAATGTGTCGTAGATGTGTCTTTTGCCTTTCCGTGCACTCTTCTTCACTTCTTTGTCCAGTGTAGTGTTTCATAGGTTGTGTTAAGCTCCTCTTATCGTTGTTCATCCTTACACTGGTTTATCGTCTGCTTCACTGTCTTCCTCTCTCCACTCTGTCAGCTTCCATGTGTCCATCGAGATCCATTCCTCATCTTCTTCTTCCTTCCTTATACATTTATGCAGGTTTCTTTCCACATCTCTTTCAAAGAATTCCAGTGTTCTTCCACACAGATTTCTTCGAGAATGTTGCCTAGTGTCTCCGATTGTTTCCTTATGGCTCACGTGAAGGTTTCCTTTGAAGTTTCGTCCTTCAGTTTGTGCTCTGGGTGTTGAACTTGAACTGTGGTCGTTTATGACCAGCTTCTTCGAAGGCTTTCAACTTCATTTTGAAGGTTCCTTGCACTAGATAATGGTCTGAACCTACATCTTCTCTTCCTAATCTTGTGTCCAGTGGGCTGGCTGAGTCTCCACTTCCTTCACATCGATCTGATTTTTACTGTGTCCATCTGGTGAAATCCATGTGGCTGCCTTGTGGACATCCTTGTGTTTGTACACACTGTCTCCAATCACCAAATCATTAAAGGTGCAGAAGTGTGTAAACAGTTCTCCATTCTCATTCATCATTTCACTGAGTGCTTCTTGACCTATGATGGGTTCTCTTCCTGTGTTATCTGCTCCCAGTTTTGACATTCATGTCACCCCACCCATCAGAATGGATTTTGATGTCACCTACTGGGGTTGGGTCTTGTCGATTACTGATTGGAGTTGTCTGTGGAATTCCTCCTTCTGTTGGTCTGGATTATTTGTATGTGCACAGCGTAGCATTGTATGATTATGACTTACCTTCCCTTTGAGTTGAATCCATCTTGCTGCCATGATCTTGCTGGAGGAGATTGGTTCCCACTGCATGAGAGCCTTCGATGCTGTTGGGGACATCATGATAGCCACTCAAAAACTCACTGTGGTCGTGTTTGTCGTGTGGGTGACGATATCGGAGTAGATTATTGGCTTTCCAGTTGACCGTTTGGAGAGTCCACTTCTATTTCATCTGCTTTCGCAGATTCCTAGCACTTCAATGCTATATCTTCTCATCTCTTTTTAATCTGGGTAGGCTTGGTAGGTTCAGACGTGGTGCTGACATTCCATATCCCCATTCTCACTATTGCTTTGATTGAGAGAGAGAAGATACATCGGCCAATTGGCTTCCCTAAGGCTTTCACCAACTGGCGTCATTTCGCCTCTATGATTCCAGCGAGGAACAAGTTTATTTTTATTTTCTATATCTTGTTTGTGCTTTGAAGTTTCTGTGGGGGTTGGATTGGTTTTACGGGGTAGGGTTGCTAGCCCCATGCCCAACGTTCCTTCTTTATCCGGCCTTAGGACCGGCTAGTAACTAGTGAACTAGTTAACTGCTCGTGGTTACACATTCACTACTTCACACAAATGTGACTTGCTTATGTCATCTACGTTCAGAAACCGTTTTGGATGGCTTTAAATGCAGGAAAACCGAACAAATCAACATTATTAGTTATCCTAGATTAAATTGGCAAATCCAAATGCAAAACGTTGACGCTGTAGTAGAATATAATTGTATATTAAACTTGTTTATTTGGCATAGTCCACATTTGATGCATTATTGCTTACTTGATGACGTTTCGAGCATAAATTATTACTCATAACTGTATCTAGGTAATCACAGCTTTCTACATCTGATTTTTATAGTCCTACCACCTTATGTTATTTGTTTTTACTGGTAATGAAATCTTCCACCTTTCAAGCATAATTGTTGACACTTTCCTATCAAATGTGTTGGATTCTGATTCGGCGAAAAAATATTCGGTTATCAATCTCTCTATCCACCTAACTAAATTGGACTTAAGTACAGTGGTTTTATCCCGCCCTATTATATGCTCATGTGTTGATGTATGTAATTCATTTGCTGTTTTTTTTGCTAGATTATCGATCCTGTCGAACTCTATCATTCTTTATGTTCCTAAATTCTTATATCCAGATGATTTAACCAGCCCTGATTGATTAGTTTCGCTTATGTACTTGACATCACAGTCATTGCATGGAATTTGTTACATGAAATTATTTCATGTTATTTGGTCTATCAGATCTTTAAGCCACATTAATTCCAGCCTTGTTGAGAATGCAACGTTAAGTTTCTGATGTTATATTCCTACATAGCAACACCATAGAGGCTTTGAACTACTCGTGTTATCGTTATTATTCATATTCATATAACTGTTATTATTTCATTTCTTATGTATTCCTACAAATTTCTTAAACTTTAAAGGATAGTTATTAATTAGTAGTTTCTTTTATATGTTTTAATTCTTCATTCAAATCCTTTCATCGACTAGTGAGTTTTCTAGCTCTATTATTCTAACATTTGACTAAAACCACTTAAAATGGTAATAAATGAGATGAAATGAAGTCTGAATCAGTCAATCAATCATTATCAACATAGAACCAGGCATTACCTCACCGTCCGAGTTGCCACACCTTACGTCAGTTCATCAAGTAGAAAGGTAGTGAGGTGAAAGATGAAGATAAGAAAGTCAAAAGAAATATAAAGTACGAGAAGAAAGGAAAGAGGAGCGATAAAATGATGAGATTCGGTATAGTGTTGTTAAGATGAGGATAATGTGTGTATACATCTGCGACACTAACATCGGTTCTGAGCCATATTACCTAGAGTCAGTCTCCAACCACTGGTTCCTCTTGTCCCACCGACCCCAACCACCTAGTCTGCATCGCCCCATATAGGTGAAACCAACAGTCAAAGACTTCATACATTGGTGCCATGTTTTAGTCTGGGTGCCCCGAGCCTTTTTCCAGCCTGGACCCACCTCAGCCAACATTGTGTGACGAGGCAATCGGTGACTAGGCATACTTAGTACGTGTTCCAACCATCTCAGTCGATGAAGGTTCATAACCCCGTCAACTGACTTACCTCTGCTCCCTAAAACTTTACACCTGACTTCTGCATTACTCACGTGGTGACACCATGGAATATGTCCTATACTACGAAGGCAATGATGGTCAAACACTTGAAGCCAGCCTTCTTATGTCTTCCACCTTCAATGGCCATGTTTCACAGCCATACAGTAGAACAGAGCGGACTGCTGTGCAGTACACGCGACCCTTAATAGACGATTGGATATCACGGCGGTGCCATAGGTGGCGCAAATTGGCAAAAGCCAATCGAGCCTTTTATATCCGTGCAGAGATCTCATCGGCAACTAACCCACCGGGGTTGATCCTACTAACCAGGTAAGTGAAGTGGTCAGCACTCTCAACCACTACACTCTTTATCGTTAGCCGCGAAACCACTGAAGACCAGTCCTGGAGCAAAAATTTACATTTGGGTGGTGAGAAACGCATCCCAAACATCCTCATATTCCCACTCAAAGTTTTCAGAAGACTCTGCATCTTGTCAGCGTCTTCACCTAACAGGACTATGTCATGTCATCTGCATATTCTAGATCTAAAGAAAATTCACCTGTGATTGGGTCAACGTCTGTGTAATAAGGTGACGAGAGGGAAACCTCCATAAGAACATCTATGATAAAATTAAATAAGAATGGAAATAGTGGGCATCCTTGACGGACACCACTTGATGAGTATAGCTCCCTGGACAACTCGCCATAGGCTCTAACATGCCCACAAGTGTTCGAGTAGAGAGCCTTCAATAAGGTGATGTACCTACTCGGCACGCCTTTCAGTGACAGACATTGCCATAAGACTTCTCGATCAACGGAGTCAAATGCCGCCTTCAGGTCGAGAAATACAGAGAGTGTTAGGCGTCTGTAAGCGTATCTATGTTCCACTACCTGGTGCAGTGTGAATATTTGGTCGATACACCCGTGACCGGGTCTAAAGCCTGCTTGGTTTTCTCGGGCTTACTGTTCCCGAGCTCCACTCAGGTGTCGGAGAATTATAGAACCTAGGATTTTGGAGACTATGTTTGTCAGGCTGATTCCTCTGTGGTTATCACAAGAGGACTTCTCGCCTTTTTTGAAGACTGGGATAATCAGTGATTTAGACCAGTCGGAGGGGATCGTATTTGATTCCTATATACTGGTTAACACTTCCGTTAACCTGACTAAGAGCACTCCACCACCATTCTTGTATACCTCAGCAGGTAGTCTGTCTGGTCCTGCCACCCTTCCTAGTTTCAGGTTACCTACAGCTTTCTCGACTTCTGCTGGTGTTGGTGGGCCTGTTTCAATGTTCCATTCAGGATCCGACTGGATAGCGGGCAACGTAATGGTGGTTGGAGGCCAGTTAAACTGTTCCTCGAAGTGTTCTACCCATCGTTCCAGTTGTCTCCCTCGTGAGTGAATTGCAGATCCGTCCTTCTCCGCTGTAGCCTCACTAACTGTTGTTGATCTTTTCCCCCCAGTCTCCTTAATAAGTCTAAATAACTGTCTACTATTACCGATCGCCACTGCCTTTTCCATCTCTTTAGCCTTCGCTGCCCACCATTGTTCACGATCGTTGCGTAGACTTTTCATCAGTCTACTTTTAAGTTGCACTCGCTCTTCATTGTACTCAGAGACTGCAGGGAGGCGTACACGTACATCCATTAGTTTGGAAGAAGCTGCTGATATCCACTGGTTCTTTTTAGCCACTATTTTGGAGTCGGTCTGAATATCTGTCTGAATGTGTTGGTTTGCTGTAGACGATAGTATCTAAACCACTGTCTGTTCTTCGTTCGCTTTGCAATTCAACATAGTTAATTCTTTATAGTAATGATGGGCAGTGGCTAACAGTGGAATCCAGGATGCGCATTTCGTCCTATTTCGGACTTGTCAGCTGGTTGTACCTGCCTCCCAGTGAGTGGTGTTGTCCCCACCGTGATTCGGACTCGGAAGTGATCGCTTCAAACACGAGAGCGTTATCTACTACACCACCGAGCCACGATAGTCACTTCTTGTGCGCCGTGTATAGTTTTAGTGTCATTACTTGTTTTCTTATTCATTTCGTACATCGTACGTGAACTGCATTGTATCTACTACTGAGTTTATATATATATGGGGAGACCGTTTTTATGTTCTGATTTCAACACGGTAAATGTATCATTTGCATATCGCCACCACATCTTAGGTGCAGGATTAGACGTTTGTGTAGCCATGTTTTTCCAACTGTCTATAAATATATCTACCACGATTTAAAATATTGATCCCATTTCTACTGCTTTCGTTTGCCTTGTCTGGATATTCTATCCTGACACAACAGTAAACCTAAAGTGATCTCAACAGCCAATACCCTAATTCTTTGAGTAAGTTTTGAGTCAACATTTAGTTGATTTCTAGCTACCTTCAGTGCTATATTGGTTGGTATCTTAATGTAGAGGCGTGCTACATTGAAACAAATCATTTTTTCTTCCTCTTCTATATGCAGGTCATTAAACTCTTATAGCTCAACTCGTAGAAACTGATCAGTCTGGAATTTGAACGTCTTCTTATAAGACATAATGTCGATAGTTCGTATGTTGGAGTAATAATGAAATTAACCATAAATCTAATAGGGTAACCTGGTTTATGAACTTAGTACCGTGAATTCTACTAGGTTTATTAGTTCTAGGCATCAAATTAGGTCTGTTAGACTGACCTAAAGACAGCTTCATTCAGTGTATCAGATCACCTGTAGATTTATAAATCTTATGACAAATAGTCTATACTGCGGAGGCAGAGGTGGTCAAACCCCTTGAACTCTCCTCAGGCAGTTTGTGCTAACCTATGTATCTGTTAAGATATAAATTTTAAGAGCTGTGATGCATTGATCTTAATTTCTGACTAACAGTCGGTCATACATACTTCACCTATGCCACCAACTGGAATAACCTGATAGTACCACGAGTACCTACACGTGTGATAGGGCTGGTAGTATTGTTGTGAAGTTTTGGCTCCATTTGTTTAGGCGCTAGGTTTTCAATCACTGACTTGTGATTTGAACCTCACTTTAAATACCAAAGGTTGGACAACCTAGCGGTCTCCAAATTCAATTCCTCTCGTATGCTAGTACCTGTTTCTGTACTAAAATGATGAGCTGCAAAAATATACAAATCTCGTATCCGTAATTTTTCTTTTTCTTCCAGTGATTATCACTTCAATTCAAGTAATCCAATAACTAAAGCTATTAAAAATTATCCTGCTGGACCAACATTGTCTACAGCTGTGATCCTGTTGACAATCGCTTTGGTTTTGAAACTAATCTTAACCGTCTTCACATTTGGTATCAAAGTTCCGACTGGTTTGTTCATCCCATCCTTAGCGGTATGTTCATGGTAGATCTATTTTTCCTATGGTCTTATTGGCTGTTTCTATTTTTGGTTGAATTTTGCTGCTTTTATGTGTGTTTGTTCTTTTTACTTGTTTTGAATAACATTTTGAAACTGTAGCTCATTGGTTTAGGGAGTTGACTCTCAGCCAGTGAGTCATGGATTTGAGCATCGCTCCACCTACCGAGGTTTGGACAGCCAGTTAGTATCCACAGCCCTCATATATTAGGTGTGGCTCATTGCCTACTGTATGATTGTGCACAAGGTTGTTGAATGGTTTTTGATTTCAGTTCGACTGAGTAACACGTTGGATTGCCCTAAATAAAATGCCAATTGCTGAGCTTTAATCTCACAGTGAAAAGTCGCTATGTAAACTCCTTTGGTTTGATCTGATAATTAATGGGTACGTTTTTTCGCATAATATCTAGTTCATGATAGGAACATTGCTTCAGGAGATAATGATGGTCTGAAGTGTTTAAAAAGCTTTATTTTTGAGAAATATATTGTCCATATCTTAATCGTGTAGGGTTTCTATCTCGGAAACTCGCAGTAGTTTATTATTGGTATTTCGCCTGTTACACTGAACAACAGGAAATTGAACCTCTACGAATACAGGATATTTCCTTCAGCTCATAGATATGCTACTAGATTATGACAAAGCATCAAATTCCACATCTTCACCTTGATTGCCTTAACGATCAGTAGCACTTAAATAGAGTGCAACACAACTTTGCATCAATTAGTTTAATGTTTCTGGCCAAAAGAATGGGTTTAAAAGAGGTGTGTAGGCTGTTGAACCCTCCATCGTTACACCCATCGTCAATGATCACGTGCTTCATAAGACCGTTGGTAAAAATGCGAACTAATATGGGTGTTCTTACCAACATGGGAGCTCAAAGAACAGTTGATTGAGGACGATCTTATTTTCGGACCGATCTTTTTAACTCCTTTTAACAGAAAAATGGTAACATCAGCTGAGGATACTGGTTGTCCTTGGCAAACATCTTGCTGGTGTTACAACCCGATACAACCAGCAGTATCTGACCATATTTCCGAACATTTTGACTATTAGAAAGTTAAATGAAATTATAAGTTTCCGGTCTCACTGTTGTTATACAGAAGAACTTCGTAGCATAATAGGACCTCAATAAACAAGCATTGTAACCAGTATCTCAAATGGATTATCAAGGTAAGTTAGTTGAATCACTGCACCAAAGTAGCGGTTACTGTCATGAAAACTGTAGTTTATTCATTTATCCAACTAGGTGTTAGTTGGTTGGAGGCAATCGGCAGGAAGCTCTGGACCTAGGTTTCGTGCTTTTTGGCACTCATCAGCAAGGCGTGTCTGCAACCTCGACGGAACTGATGTCCTGCCCGAGATTCGAACCCACGCCACCTAGTGTTGTAGTCAGCGACTTTACCACTGAGCTCTTCGGGCCGCGACTGACCTCCTGTAGAACTGGCTTACATGTATTGATTGGTCACGGAAGTGCAACCAATTTCATGTTGTCTAGTCCTGAGTGCAGACCGAATTCTATCGATCATATTTGCAATGTAGCAACCAAGCTAGGAAGCTCAGCATCGCGGTGCCGATTGCCTCCAACCAACTAACATCTACTAATGTGCACCGTGATGTTAAGCTTCCTAGCTTGGTTGCCACATTGCAGATATGATCGATAGAATTCGGTATGCACTCAGGACTAGACAACATGAAATTGGTTGCACTCCCGTGACCAATCAATACATTTATCCAACTGTTTTAGTTATAACATTGAATGAATAAGTAGATACTACTCGTCTTTTTGTTTTTGTGGTATTTTATTGCTTAAATTATCTTGTACTTTATATGAAGTACGATTATGGCTTGACAGAATAGTATCACAACCTATATCTAATATCTCACACTTGTCTGAAGTTACTCATTTTATGAATTTATTAGGTTTTTAAAAAACAACTGTTATATAGCTTTTTAGTGTAGGTGTATGTATAAGCTTGATTTTGACTGGTTGATTGTTGTATACTCTTGTGTTCAGAAGTGAAGATTTGTTACCTACACAAATCATTCAGTTTTCTAACCAATTCACCCCAGTTGTGTATTATTAACTTGTTGTAGATCATAGTTTTGTAATTCATATATATATAAGAACATATATCATGTCCGACTTTGAACCTTATCAGATAGGGATGATTTTAATGGCTACTCTAGCAACTGCTGAAATAATCAATCAAGTCTTGGCATTTTGGTCGGGAAGGTATTTTTCCATAAAACAGAGAACCGTAATTGGTTATCTAACTAGTTTTTAGAGTGACTTTTCAAGTCAGTCTCAGATAGGTGATTGTAACTGATCTTTTCAACTGTTGTCAGTCATAGACTTACATTGTGCTTTGTTAACTAAAAGATCACGATAGAATTTATTCGTCATTAAATTGTACATCAAATGAAAACAACTGACAATCGAGTTGCATCAGCATTTCATAATTCAGTGTATTTTTTTTAAATACTCGTGAGTAGTTGATATTCGTGAACTATTAGTCGTTCTTTTTCTCCGCGTAATAAAGCCTACTGTTTATTACTTAAATTATCTGAGCAAAGTATAGTATATAACACTAACAAGTGTCGATTCAAATGAGAAGCATATTCTTAATTTCACTTGAAGCCAGTCACTACCTTAATAGTATGACAGTGTGACTGATTTGCGATTCACATGAAGCAGTTTGGTTATCATGTCTGCAAATCAGATTTGCATCACTTTACAACCGGATAGAATTTCATGCACTATTGTTTTGTTTTTTTTTGCAGTACAGTTTTGCGTGCTTTGAACACTCAGTTTTGCCGCCTAAAGTTTTTCTCTGTTCAAAGCTTACAATACTAGTATCACTGGAGGTATCTACTTTAAAAACCAAAAATTTTCTCCATTATCATTGTGCTCAGTGTTAGCGCATATACCTCATAGTGAATTGACATTCATTCATAGAATGTGTACCCTATGTTGTCAATATTGTTTTTTATTTATCCAAACATTACATTATTTGATGAAGTAGTCTTCATCTATTTAATACTTATCTCTGTTTACTTGCTTTTCTTCTTTAGGCTGGTGCAATTATGGGTCGAATGTTGGGTATAGCTACTGAACAGTTTGTTGTAGCGCATGCATCACATCCACTGATTGCAAAAATGTGTAAATCATCCCAACCATGTATTAATCCAGGCCTTTATGCTATGGTCGGTGCAGCGGCCACATTAGGTGGTGTTACACGAATGACAATATCACTAGTTGTAGTCATGTTAGAATTGACTGGAGGGTAATACATTGCTTTATTTTTGTATTTGTTTCATTGTTGAAGATATCTCATCCAAAGTGTATTGGTTTTTCTGTTTAAAATCAAGCATTAATCACGCAATAAAGGTAAACTGTTCAATTACTGTACTCTAATTTGGATGGTCATTATAAACCCTTAATCAATGGGTCAATTATAAACCAAACTGTTAATAGTATGCTTCCTTCCATGTGAACCCTCTTTAACTTTTGTAATCGTTCGGGGATTTCTCACAGATAATTACTAGTTCCAATTCTATCGACGTTTCATCGTTGGATCTTGTGGACATTTTGGCTAACCCGCTTACGCATTAAGTTCACATTTTTTTTTAGGAAAGTCGGTTGTTCATTTTAAAACTAATACTGATAATGTTTGAACTTCAGCAGTTGGATTTATACGTCATTCTTGTGTTAAGATTATTAGTCTGGGCTTCACACAAGTTAAATCTATCAGATTCGATCTTATCTCTGAAGGAAATTCTTGAAAGTTAATAGACAGAGTTGATATTACTGTGAACTCTGAATTAAAATACTGTATTAGCTGTATTTTTGTCAAAGAGATAGAGTCTTGGTATCTAAAAGTCTAAATGTTTTGTTGTTTGCTGAAAATTGAGTTCATCAACTCTAAGTGCTTGGAGGTAGATATTTATGTTCACTCCATGTTGTTTGCTTTACATCAGTCATTCATCATTAAAAATGTATTGGCGAATCAGGCAGTTGTCTGAAATTCTAGTTTGTTTTTCTTCTTTTTAGTCAGAAGTGTTGTTAACACCTTATAGAAGCATATTTTGTAGAGTTATTACTTTAAATCTTGCCAATCGGTGAATAAATCAACTGCATTGGTGTATGTGATGCAACACTGTTTCTCATAATGTATTTAAGGTTTTAACGATGACAGACGTAGATATATTTTAGTTGTTGAAGATTGGTGGGGGAACAGTAGCTCGAATAGCTCAGTGGTAACATCTGTGGGTTTGTAACGCGAGTTCTAACTTCAGATGGGTCATCATTTCCATCAAGATGGGTGATACGTCTTACTGACTAGTGCCAATAAGCATGAAACCCAAGTTCAGGGATTCCTGTCGATTGCCTTCATCCAACTAACATCTCTGTCAGTGATTTGCAATGATGAATCTCCTAGACGTGTGACTACATTGTAAAATGATCGATAGAATTCAGTTAACACTTTAGACAAGATAACATAAAATTGATCACTCCTAGTGACCAATCAATGAGGCGATAGCAATACTTCATAAGATATTTGGACGTTAACGCTGAGAATTGCAGTAATTTCCCCTCACTAACGGCAGATATAGTAAATTAGGCTGCTAATGATTGCATATTGCACGTAGCAAGTGACTGCTCCAATAATTCTGAGCCTTTCATCTGTTTAGGACTTCAGGTTGAATTAAACATTAGGTGAAAATTTACACCACCACCCCTTCGCCATCATATTTGAGTGGTATTCTATAAATTTTGACCAGCGCTTAAGATTGATTAACCACTTTAGTTGCCATCTAGTGACAATTTCATGTGCCTGCTCCGATCGCACAGGGGTTCAGATGTCGTCTGACAGACTTATTCGTAGACTTTTTGATTTTTTTTTTCTGATTGACACATTTCTGAATTTACAGGGAAGAGGGAGTTTCTTCCTTTTTAAAGATACTCTCGATTAAATGAGTCCTAATGAGCTAGATTTCCTATTGGTTCATTTCCAAACACTCAATGTCGATAGTATTCGTTTTGCATAGATGTTATTATTGTAGAATTAATTTCATTACTATTCACTGTTATTTTGTTGACGTGATCATGTTTTCACATGTTTTTTGTTGTTGTTGTTGTTATTATTGAACGACTAAGTAGTAAATACTTTTCATCGTCATTTAAAAAAAAAAATTCAACAGGTTGATAAATGATGAATTATTCAGTTTGCTATAATGTCTATGATGCTAATGTGCAATTGAAAATTCACATGAAGTTTATAGACATCATGGACTGATAAATATACCCATAAATCAATTATTATTATTATTATTATTATTATTATTATTAATTGCGGTTACATTAAAGTATGCACCTATTTTGCAGATAATTATTTAACCTTACATGCACACTTCAGTGCATATGTATATGATTACTTTGTTGTCCATGCTTTTTGCCAATATTACTCTTGATGTGTTCAGTTGTTTAGATAAATGATATAATGTTGATTTACTTCTATGCTTAAATCAACGTGATTTACCAAGTAGTCGCTATTGATTAGTCGTTTAACTGTTTATTTTGTTGATCAGTAAGATGTTCTAGTCATTTAAGCTGTAATATCTGAATATCAAAGAAAGAACTTGTCAACTTGTTGCTTGAAGTATAAGTATAAGTACTCTAAACTGATAAGGCTAAGTACAATGTTTTGACACCTTGGTTGCAGAGATATAGAGATTTATTTAAAGTTTATTTTGTTACACGATAAAATCTGTAAATGTGTTCGTCTGCAGTTTGAATGGTTTATTCACCCAACTAAAGAATATCAAAATTTGGCTTACTGTTGTCTCATTTTCAGTAGTTTCTTACAAGTTATCTCTTTGGTGTAAAGGTGATGGATTGGGACCTTGATAAGAAATTCTGAAAAAATCCCGGCTATCACTGTACACTCAACCTTTAGATTAACTTAGTTAGGTGGGGGAAGTTATTGATAATTAAATCTTTATGTATAGGATACACTACCTTAAATTTTTTTCGTAGGAATGGTGCAATACTTGTACTTGATATCAGAAACACTTTACTGCCCCTGGGATGAAAAAGAGAATGAACTACAGTTATCTGAATTATTAAACGAGGAAGTTGTGATTGTGAAAAGTATAATCTGCTCAAAAAGTCATCCAGATAATAACATTGTCTTACTGACTCATTGTTTCATTTACGACTGGTTTCTATGACCCCATGTTCCAGTGACATGATCTCGAACTATGTACAGTACTAGTGTTTATCAAACTTGAAGCATACACGATTGTGACAATCAAGTTTATTGGAGATAGACTTGTTTTCCATTCTTTTTTCTTCTGTTTTTATAATTTAATTTATACTTTCTGGTCTAACAATAATTACATCTCTTTTTATTTCTTTAGATTAAATTATATTATCCCGTTAATGATTGCAGCTATGGTTAGTAAATGGACTGGTGATCGATTGACTAATGGCAGTATTTATGAAGAGCATATTCGATTGAATGATTATCCATATTTGGGAGCGTATGATGAATTGGACAGTATGTTGGTTGCAGCTGATGTCATGCAACCGCGTAGGTGAGTCTGAAACGTTTGTGCACTTTTTTTTGGCAAAATATGCCCAGTTGTTTCATTGGACAGTTTTCAGTTTATGACTGATTATATTCATCTCTTTGTCTGTATTGTTTTTTTATCTCTACCAATCTTAAATTTCTATATTGTTGATTTCTCTAAGTTCACTTTTTTTGTTGGCTTTTTTGAAATCTTCCCAATTCTACCTTAAAAAGGTACCACATTGAGTGATTATTCCGTTTATGTTATATTCAGAAGTAAGTTTTGAGTCAGTATCTAGTTGATTTCTGACTGCCTCCAGTGCCATATTGATTGGTATTTTAGTATAAAGACTTGTTACGTCAAAACTAACCATTTTTTCATTCATGCAGATCATTAAGTTTTTGTTTTAACTCGTAAGAATTTACTACTCTAGAATGTGAACGGTCTCTAATAGGACGTAATACTGATGCTAAATACTTTGATATCTCATATATTGGTGTGTTCCGGAAGTCAACTATCGGCCTAATGGGATAACCTGCTTTATGAACCGTAAATTCTGCTAGGATTATTAGTTTTTGGCATTAAGGTAAACCATTCGAACCTACCTAGAGATGGCTTCAGTCGGCGTATCAGATCTGTTGTAGATTTCTTAATTTTATTCATGAAAGTATCTATAGGTTTCTTAATCTCTTCATATGGCCCTGTTTGGATATGTTCATCCATTTTTTTAAAAGATAATCCGATTTGTCCATAACTACTGTTGAGTTACCTTTGTCAGATTTAGCAATTACTATACTATTATCCTTTCGTAGATTGTTTAAAGCTGAATTTTCCAGTTTCGTTTAGTTTCGCTGTGCCCAAGTTTTACACTTATATATTCAGAAGTATTTATCATATCACTGTCGGATGTGAGACTCTTACTATTTAACAGTCTAAGCAACGTACTCGACGCAAATATTTATTTAGTTGACTTTTTGAAGATATTTCCCATTCTACTTTATTGAATTAATTAGTTCGGCGTCATGAACATAAATCTGATTGACTAGATTAACGTATCCAGTAAATCATCTTTCGTCCTCTTCAACATCATATCTAAAAAGTGAAGCATGGCATTTAATTTCTCCTCAACAATGAATCTTATAAACAAATTGCATTCATTGAATCATCTGAGCAGTTTCATTAGGCAAAAAAGTATCGTCTATAAACGTCGTATACAGATAATTTTTTTTCAGTGGCCTATTAGGAGAATTTCCATTAAGTTATTAACCAAGGCATAGTTTGGTAGAGACTTCAAGGCGACCAATATTGTCTCTTTGATTGGCCATTAATACATCCGAACTAACAACTAAAAGAGAATCTTAATACCTACTGTTTCAAGTAGTTCTTTATCAATTCACTGTTAATATGATTAGACTCTATGTAATTTCATCAGTAGCGAATAGTTCCCATGATTGGAACATCTGTGAATAAAGTAAAATTCTTCTGGAGACAGGTTATATGCCACCTCCTCGAATCAAGTTTTGAGCTTCTTATTGTCTTTGGAAACATTTAGATAGGATTTTCGCCCTCCTCTCAGCTTCAGCAACTCGGTTTTGCGATGTATTTGATAGTAGTGTGATTAGTAGTTAATTTAGCACAAAAAGGGGAATATCCTGCGCTACAAGCCAACATTTTTCGTGTGATCATCAAGAGTAGTGATTGAAAACGTATTGTGAATTGGATGAAGTTAGTTATTATCCGTCAATCAGTCACGTAGTTTGTTCAGTCTCTAGACTGTTACGTCAAACTTCTACTTGTTATCAATATACTGTTATCCATATTCAAAACAAATTTGATATATTCACTCTAGTTTGTTATTATTGTTTTAAGTCTTCTTTGTTTATGTTTTCCTTACATTGGACATTAAACAAGCTGTAAAATAGCCGATATAATAAACTTGCTCATAGTATCACATGATCACTTATCTTGTGATGAGTGAATATTCCGAATAATCTTTTTTTTTTTGCTTATTTGTCGTTAGTTTTGATATGTAAACCAATGGTTGGACTGCTTCACAATAGTGTTGGTTGGTACACTTCTTTATTTAAGAGCATTGTGATTGATGCAGATATGAAAACCTATATTTTGACTGGATTAGAAATCAAGAGCCTCTGGATTATCGTTTCGGGCGGTTTACTAACTCAGTTACAAGATCTATCTAGGCCTCAATTTTACTTCAGTCATTTCAAGTTTTGCTTAAATTAAAAGTGAAACTTTATCAATAGTTGAATTTCTTAGCTCACTTGATGAACCCACAGAATCTCACTGGAACCCCGGTTTTCATTTCAGCAGAGCTCTTTATATTATGAGTATTGATGGTAATGATAATTCACTGTCTCTTCTATTGTCTAATTCAAGACTGGATCATGCAACAAACAGTGGGGAGCGAGAAGAGGGGGATACGCCGGCTGGACTGCGGAAAAGAACCTAGAAGATCTGGATTTCACCAACGATGACTTGTGTCTGATGTCACACAAACTTGAAGATGTACAGGTGAAACTAACAAGTTGGCAGAAGAGGCAGGGCAGCAAAGACGGGACTTCAGGTGAATATAGAGAAGACAGAAGTGATGAAGATACCGCACCAACAACTCCAGCAACAACAACAACAAACTCCAGTCACCATCGATGGGAGAAACTTAAAGGAAGTCACCTCCTTCACCTATCTAGGAAGCACTGTTTCAACTACAGGCGCCACAGGCACAGACGAGGATGTCAAAGTCAGAATCGGAAAAGCAAAACAGGCGTTCATATGCCTGAAACCAGTGTGGAGATCTTCTGCACTCCACTCAGCATGTGGAACAACATCCGGATTTTCAACACCAACACCAACGTCAAATCAGTGCTTCTGTATGACTGAGAGACTTGGCGCGTTACGAAAGGGATTTCCAATAAACTACAGACATTCATCAACAACTGCTTACGCTCGCTACTGAAGATCAGATGGATTGCCAGAAAGAATAAGCAACAAGGAGCTGTGGGAACGAACCAACCAAGAACCTATCGCTCAACAAATATGCAGAAGGAGGAAGTGGAGATGGATTGGGCATACTCTGAGAAAGCCGACTGGGGACATCACGTGTCAGGCCCTCGAGTGGAACCCAAATGGGAAGCGACGAGTTGGGCGTCCGGGGTGAGGGTGACATAGAGGAGATCATGTGAGGAGGAAATGAGAGCTTGTTGGCTGTCATGGAGCCAGGTTCAAAAGATTTCAGAGAATAGAGTTCACTGGAGACGTGCTACTGAAGCCCTATGTTCCATTAGGAACCCAAGGGACTAATAATAATAAATACAAACCACTTCATTTATCAGCTGGCTAAAATACACTGACCTGAATTCAAGTTATAGGATAACGCTTCCTTAAATAACTCTTTTGTTATTTTCTGAATCGATGATTTTTTCTTTGTTTGTTACATTACAGTTTCTATTTCATTGACTCCACTGGTAGTAAGTAATAAGTAGATGTACCGTAGACAGTTAAACTATTCAGCAGGTTGATACGATTGATCTATCATGAAAATTTATAAGGAATTATCTCAAAAGTCAGTTATTGATTTCAATGGAGAAACAAATCAATGTATAGCAGTTTAATCGCTTCACTAGATGTTTCACACAGTGAAATAAATCAACTGAAATGGAATTACATTCTACTACGGTGCTGAAGTTCTGTTCTTATATTGTATTAGTGTCCCTATGCATGGTATGTGCTTTGCACCATTAAAGTGAAAAGTACTCTCGCAAGATTTCAAGAAGTCTGTGACTGCGCTCACTCTTGGTGGTGAGCTATTAGAAGTAGTCGAAACGTTCGTGTATCTGAGTAGTTATGTGAGTGCTGGTGGATCTATGAGTGGTGGAATTTTCAACCGCATATCGAAAGTCAAAGTCACATGCATCAATCTGAACCACCTTTGATGCCTTCACGACATTATTCTGACCGTAAAAGGTCGGGTGTACAACGCTACGGTATGAGCAGTTCTGCTCTGCGTCTTTGAAACCTGGCCTTTTTGAGCTGAGCATGTGCGATGACTCTGTGTGTTTGACCACAGTTGTCTCTGTAGGATTGCTCGTATCCCTAAGTAAGTAATTATGAGGTACGACAGCGTGTGTTTGGGCGTGATGGAGACCGTCATTGAATAAATGAAGTCACCTGGAAACAACGGCTTCGGTGGGTTTTGACATGTTATGTATATCTTCCCAACGGCTTCCTGACCGTTTATTGTTTACTAACTATAGGAGTGGATAGAAAAAGTGGAGGAGTGGTCGGTGTATGGCGTGGTGCCGTGAGACGAAGGATAGTTGTATTAGGTTAAAATCTGTTGGTGCATCATGACTCTCTGGGTGGGTTCCAAGGGATCACGTAACTCAGTGGCTTGAGATGTTATCCGTTATGCCTCAGAATCGAAACCAGTGGCGGTCATGTCGTAGTTCCCTTCTATCTTGTGCTGCCGAAAATTAAATGATGTTGTGTTTCGAATGTAACTTACTGAACTGCCCTTCTGTTCATTCTATTCCTATTGTGTTTTATTTTTATTCACTTCTCTCCGCTTTATATTTTTATAATGTCATATTATTTTGTGTGGTGCATATCTTGGTGTCCTTATTGTACCACTTTTATGTTCTAATAATAATAATCTTATATTAAATCAACATATGATATGGCGTTGAAGTATACCACTTTAAATTACTGCACTTCCTCGTAGTGTGCGAAAAAGATGTCGATGAAAGATTGACAATAAACTAGATAAAAGTGTATAGCAAAATAAGGAATCAATAAACGATGGTTAACAAAGGTATTTGCCATTTCGAGAATGATAAAGAAGATTTACACCACAATTTTGACCGATTATGAGCTGTCTGATCAAGAGCCTCCAACCACCAGTATCACCTCATGAACCTTAGTCGTGTACTCTATGCGTTCATAACAGCAGTCTTAAAATTCATCGATTGGTGTCACCTGTTTTTCTGACCACCTTTAGATTTCTTCCAACTTGATGCTGTTTCAGTTAACACCCCACATCGAGTTAGCAGTGACTTCGCTTGCTTAGCATATGTTCAAGCCAACTATATTTTCCAAAAGTAATCTAACAATTATCAAGTTAAAATATAGTCTCAATTTACAAGGTCCTTAACTATTGATCTTAACCGCATAAAAAAGTATTGATCCCTATGATCGAGCTTCGTATAATAGAAGGAACAGATTGTTTATGACAATGAGAAATAAGGCTATTACCCAAAAATTCAATTTTAAAATGGCGGAAAACCTTGTATTTCGAATGTTTATAAAATTCTGAACTCAGTTCTTGGAACCTCCACACTGAATAATTGGTTTATGAGATCACTGTAAACGATCATCCATAAGCAAATGATTCTTTTCTCTGTATTGTAAGTTCGAAGCTTTAATAAACACCTTCAATTTCCTCCTATTTTATCTTATTACTCTTCAGTGGCTGAATTGGGTTTCAGATACGCCAAGTTCTGAAGTTCGTTATTGTGCACCCATTAGAGGATAGCATATTTTTCTTATCAAACGTTTAATCTTGAATCATAACGGTGATCTTAAATGATATCGTAGTAAATGCTACTTATATAAATAAATGTCACTAGTGTTTATTGTGGCATCAGAAAGCACAATCATTGATGATCAGACGGATAAAACTCTAGGAGGAAAGAAGACAATAATCAGTAAGACAGACAATAAAAATCAACTTAGAACCTCGCACATAAGTGCATCCGTTCAAGTTACCACGCTTCACAGTAGCATACAAAGAATAAGTGGATAGGAAAAACTGATATCAAGGCAGACAAAGGTGTATGGGGGTAGAGTAAACTTAAAATTTAAGGTTAGTGAAAGCATTCAAGCTTTAGAAAAAGTCAAAGTGTGAGTGGATCTTTGCACCATTGTGACTGTTGATTCCTGAGGTCTCAGAGACTCCATCGAGGTAGTTGGTACCTCCCTACACGACCCAGACCAGCAGTAGGAGATTTCATGTACTGGTGCCATGTCTTATTCTGACCACGCTGAGCTCTCTTCCAACCTAATCCAACTTCTAACATTGCACGTTGAAGTAGACATTGTCTGAAATACTAAGTGAAAACATCTAGATCATAAATACTGCACACTTGGGGGTGTTGAAAAATGATGACGTTTGTAAGTGTGACTTTTCTGTAAAGCTTAATATTTTTATGAATGTAGATTATAATTTTCCAATAAACATTCTCTTTTCTCCTATAGAACTTCTCTTTATTGTCTCAGAATCAATTACAATAGTGCAGATGCATTTACATCTTAGATTCATCTTAACGTTATGGTTCACTTCATTTTATTTTGTGACACTCTGATCTTTGATCAAAATATCTTCATTTTCGTCTTACATCCTACCTTTTAAATTCAGGAAGAGCACCTGTATGTGGTCCAATCATTCTCCCTTTTCTATATTTAGATTAAACACTCATATAAAATGTAGGAACACAGCCTCGAGTTAGACTGCTCTCGCTCATAATTTCATGATTATAGGAGTCTTCGTGATTTACTGGACTATTTTTAAGTGTAATATGATATTTGGTTTATTTTATCCACGATGTGTATGTGTATTTAACATTAGCATCAATGTGTGAATGTATTGCTTTATCATTATTTTCATTTAGGGATTCTGGTTCACCTCTGTATGTTGTTACTCAATATGATATGACAGTTAGTGATCTAGACCAGTTAGTTAATGGATGTGATGTCAAAGGATTCCCTGTTGTTGTCTCTCAAGATACACCTTATCTAGTTGGATGGGTATCAAGAAGGGAACTTCGATGGGCATTGGGTGAGTTGTTAAAAATTGAACTTTTTGCCGTTGTTTTTAGTATGATTACTTACAGGTGGTAGGTTGATGGTTCGCAAACATATTTGACACCTATTTGAACTGAAGACGTTAACTGCATAGTCAATCTAAAAGCGAGTATATCTGTGTGGTTTATGTTCTCATGGTTCAGTCCGTAGATGTAAGAGTAAATCAAGTCTAAACCTGTTTTTACAAGGTAGTTGTATGCTCGTATGCCGCTTATGTGTTGTTGTATAAAGCATAGTTGACAAGGTCGATATTTGTGAGCCTTATTAGCCAGTCGCCTTCTGTTATAGACATGTTTAACACACAATCACTGTACTAAAAGTTGCTCCAACACTATCAATACCTTGACAAAGAATGTGTTTATTTGAACGGTTGATTTTTTTTACTTCACTTTTCATCTCCAAAATACACGATTGAAATGTTTTTCAATGTGTTCTCAGTGAATCGAAATCCACTCAACTACCTTGTTCACATTTGTGCGGTAAGCAATAAGTCACACGTTGTATATGAGGGCTAATGATATTACCTGACCGCCCAAACCTCGGTAGGAGGAGCGGTTCTTGAACCCATAGCCAACGGGCTGAAAGTCAATTCCCTAAACCAGTGAACCACAACTCCACTTCTCAATGAACAGTCAGAACTGATCCCGGTTATCACTTGAACCGTACAAAGTTGAACTTTTTTTATCAATCTTATTTATCTCTTTAGTGTTTCACATTTCTTTGTCATTCATGGCGTTTAATTGCATTTTGATGTAGGGTAGGGTGGCATGTTAACTGAAACCATTATGTTATAATGCCAGGTTCTATGTTGATAATATCAGTCTGTTTGCTTACATAATATATATTGATACTTGGGTGTAATAATTAAGTTTAAATGATGTCGATTGTACCAATGAAAAAAGCCGTATAGAAATGCTGGCAAATCCATAGTAAATATATGCATTTCGTTAGAGAATAAAGATTAGAGATCATATTTTTAGAGCGGATAGTTTTACGATCCACAGTATATATCGATACAATGTTCCGACGCGATACAATTAACAATAGAATAATGACTTCTCGATATTCAGCTGACACCAGAAGAAGACGATGAAATTGGAAGTATATTTACTTCAACCTAATGAATTCAGCCAAAAATTCAGTCGTTTATAAATCCTTAGATGGCCTTGACCAGGAGAAATAAAATAGCATATTAAAAGTGTAAAATGGACCAATCAGTGTTTATTATCTCAAGCTGCTGTGAAGATAAGTAACATAACATGGCGCAAAAAGAGCGCGAAAATAAGGTTTGAGTTTACAATCATTATATATACATAAGTTAGTTTTTCTTAGGGATTAGACATCCCTAACAGATAGTATATATGTGCATCATAAATGGTTGTACCAAAAACCAGCTGATATTAATCATTGGCCTAGGTATTAAACTTTCAAGTGATCAGTTCTAACTTATAAATCGTCTAATAAGTGCTCCTTATACAGCCTTCTTCATAAAGCTGAATCAGGTTATGAAGTTGCATATAGCATGTCTGTAATAGTGTGAATTTCGTTAATGAGGCTGACTACTCCAATTTTTTTGGTCTGAAGATCAATAATTTGTCTACATAGAAACGGATGGTAGAAGTATGACAACATAAGCAAGAAAGATCTGTGAGGAAGAAGATCGAAAACGGGGATGCGAATACAGCATTGGGAACTTTGAATCTGATGAAAAATATATACAGCTGTATCACTGTGATCAATTTTTGAACGATGTCACCGGAATCTTCAGCCACTAATTTCTAACATCTCACGACACAAAGTCAAGCAACTTAAGCCTTCACACGCCACTATTAAGCAACTTTGCAGCACCTTACTTTTCTTACAATATTACACTATTCCAGCTGATGTTACATATCGTGTTATCAAGTGACTCGGAACACATGAAACATATATTGACTGCTTCAATCAGTATATTTTAAAAGTCTCATCGACTGACACATTTATTTGAAGATGTGTGCCTGACCTTCGCATGATTACTCTTTGACTTCATTTTAGGCAAACCGTACTATGAAAGTACTTATGACTGGACACTCACAATCTTATTATTCTAAAACTAGTTTCTAGCGAAACCTTATGTATTTTATAGTGATGTGTGGATTATTGATGAAGCTTTCTGCGATATCCGTTTTTGGCAGACTGATATTATTGATATTGGATGATGGTTGAAGGTGAAATAGAAACCTGCGTCATTGCAAGATTCAAACTAATAGCTTTTGGATTACTAGTTTGGTGCTCTACCGATTGAGCTACAAGATCCAGATGCTGACCAGGACTTAACTTCACAATTCAATGAACCTATACATACTAAACGGTCCAAGTTGTTAATGTCTTTAGGGTGATTGTTACAAACTGTTTCAGATAAGAGTTAGGTTTCTCAGATATGTACTGATCTTACTTAACTAACATTCTTTTGTACACAGCATTAAGCTAGCTAGCAGAAAAGGGTTTAATTGAACGTTAATTGTTATCTCTTATCAGCATTATATTCCCACCAGTAAGAAAACTGCTTTTATTAGATTACATTGTTCAAAGTCAAGTCTAACATCTGGTCAAGTTAGACTGTTGTGAATGTACCACAGTATGTTTATTGTATATCGCTGGATGCTTCACTAATCTTTCATTTTATTTTGTAAACTGGCTCATGTATATGGTTATGGTAATTGAGTTTTAAGAAAGATTTGAACAGTTCATTTTCTGCTGTGATCCATATTTCTAATTATCAGTTTTATTCATCATTCTAGTAGTATGATTTCGATGAAATTTAGGCCTTATGATTCTTTTTATCTTGTTCGTTAAAAAACTGAAGCATAGGTGAAAGATTAGTTTTCAGCTGCTCACAATCATCATCACTTGTACACAGAGAATGTTCACCGAATTTTTTTTCTTCTGTAAGATAACTTATTCAGAGCCTTTTTTTGTGAATTAGTCTTTGAAAAATTACTTTTTGTTTATATTACAACAGATCGTGAACGAAAATACGACCCAAATATTGTAGATGATTCACCAGTATACTTTGCAACAGTTCAACAAGTAAATACAGACGAAAGTTTTGAATTGACACCTGTCAATCTACAAAACATTGTTGATTTGGTAAGTTTTGGTGTGTTAAGTTTCAGTAAATTATTCAGTACATTCGTTTGTCATTTTGATTCGCTTATATGTATCACTTGTTCTATCTGTTTGCCTTCATCATCATCGTAGATTCGTAATGCAGCTACTACTCTGTAGAGTTTCTTCACTTGATTTCTACTTTTACCTTCCAGTCTTAAGGTGTGTTGGTTGTGATACAGTACACAAACCTTCGTATGGTTTCGCTGTTACTATTATCCACAATCCGTTACCCTTCCATATACTACATCAATTAATATTTCCTAGCCATGCTTTATATTACGCATTCACCAAAGCTGTTCATAGGTTCAACTGGAAAACACTCATTTTCTGCCATCAATGTTGACACATTTCTCTGGAACCTGAAATAAGCTCTACAGGCAGTCAGTCATACACAGATGCAAGCCATCAAAATCATCAAGGTTCAGAAGGTTAATATCAGCATTGTTAATGTACCATGCCCTGTCAAGCCTGTTATTTGTGAATGAAATACAACAGCGGATTTCATCTGTGCTTTGAGCTTTGTCTCTGTATGTGCTAGTAGCTTTTTGAGTCGTTTTCAGGATTGTTGGACGGCTACTCCTACACCTTATTTCGCAACATGTATCTGTAATGACCGTGATGGTATTAACTTGTAAGCATGCAGACCGGCTGTATATAAAAACGTAATGCAGTTCCGTTTTCCAAGGTTACCTGTATGAAGTGTAGCAGTTATGCTGAATGACTTTGCTACCGTTTGATGTCTTGATCTGCTTCTTATGTTGGATGAAGCTGGTGGCGGACGAAGTCTGTCTTTGTGACCGACAGTATAACAGTGATAATATTTGTGATTTTCTATTCGACAAGAGTCCACATGATGCCACTCTCTCTAATGTTGACATTGCTTTAGTAAGGTTTGTTAAAGTTATTTCATCAAGTGGTATAATGGACTGGGAAAATGAAGAACTGGTTGACGAGACTAATTAATTCATTGAATTAATTTCTGCGTTATTCCGGTTGCCAATTTTTACTAGGGTGGTTTCTTGTCATAAATTCGTTATCTTCTAATGTTAGCCTTGAGTCCGGTCAGCCCACGCACATAAGCTTAATTTTGAGGTCGCATAGCACTTTTTAAAATGAGCATTTGGGACTGATAATTTGTAATGGATTTTAGCTAAAACTGTTTGAATTCTCCGCTCATCATAGCAAGTTGTATTTGCGCATCATCATTTTCGTTCAAAAAGAACGTCATGCAACTTTGCTGTGTATTGATCAGTTAGGGATGATCTCTAAACTGCTGGTATAAAGCCGGAACTGTTTCATCGAATATTCTTTAGCATGAGTTGTATAGCAAGATCAGCTTACAGTCTTTATCTAAGTCATATAGACCAATTTTTCGTAGGAGGAGTCGAAGTTACTTTTCAGCCTCTTGACTAGCGAAATGAAACCTGAATAGATCTACGTATCTTCCTAACCAGACAATAAAATTGTCATTTGCATCTGGATCATAAACAAACTCCATAGTGCTTTTACTGACATTATCAACCGTAAAGATGATGTGCTATGAAGACCATCGAGAACTTCTACCATCTTCACGCTCTGCTTCATCAGCTTTTCCAATTCAGTTGAATCTGCCGTCAAAGATCACCTATCGTCACTCTTATGTTCTATCGCTTACGCGAATAGATGCCGTGATATGGTATCCAGATACCAACAACTTAAAGATTCAAAAGGAACACCGAGAAAAGAAAAAGGCACGTTTGACTGTAGATCGTTTTCTGTCTCAGTAACCAACAAAAAGAAGTCAAAATGTTAATGCATATATCTATGGAAATTGACTTTGTCCATAAATGTTAATGGTAATGAATCAAAAGTAAGGTGACGCAATAAAAACTTAATCTTGAAAAGTTTGGGAGAAGTAGTGTACTGACGACGGTGTTATAAACAATAGAGTAGCTATGTGAAATACACAGGTCAGCGTGTTATTTTAAGTAAAATGTTCGGAATGTCAGGGAAAATAATGAGTTAATGTGCTTATGCCACAGTTATCCATTTTTACTCATATCATCTTAAGATCTTAACTACTTAAGGTTTACATGTAAAGCACTAATGTCGCTTACTGAGTAATTCCATTATGCGCTACTAATTCTTAGAAGAAAAATGCTATTCAGTGCCAAAAATCCTATCACGTCATTTATTTTTACTACTCATTAGTGTTTACAATGACTTGCTTTGATATTCATGACGTTGTTGAAGCAAATATTGGATTCTGTTATGGTGAATGAAACAAATTGATGAATAGCTATATAGAAATACTACTGATGTCATTTTATGTTCTAGTACCTTGTTCTTATTATCACTAGGTTAATTACTATATTTAAGATTGTGATTATGTTCTGGATAGTTACTATTTACATACTTCCATTACCTTATCATCTCTAAATTAAGAATTTCACCATAATTGGTTTAATGTTCTATGCATAAGAAAAATCATGTACATTAGAGTAAAGCCTAATAAGAGCTAATTGAAAACAAACCTCGAGATTGAAATACTGTTTAATACTGACTAGTGACAAGCTTCGAGATGCATTAAGTTCTAGTTAGAAGCTGTGGAACTGCCAACTGAGGGCATAGAATGCTGATCGAACTATATCACACACTTACCGAAGTAAGAAAATATGAAATATTAGACTTCTGCTGAGTGACTGATTGGTAATGAGCTCACCGCAGGACTTGGATCAGCCTAGTTTTGATTTCTAATGAGGTCATGAGTCAGCACTGCTGATGAGTTCAATACTGGGACGAAACAGCTGTCTAGAGCTTCCAGGTATTCAATAGTTTTCCAACTGATGTTCGTGCATGATGAATACTACTTTGAAATCAATCACTCCTTAAACCTCCAAACTGTCATGAAGTATTGTTCGCTTATATATCTTCTAATTTTATCAATGAGATTTTTAATACTTGGTTTTCACTGTATGATATAAAACAAATTGACCGTAAGTTTTATTGTTATTAAATTTGGTGACATTAATTACTTCTCATCCATCATCAGAATTCTGTCAAAACATAAACACATTTTTTTTCTGCTTATTTTACTTGTACAACAAATAATCGCTACTTTTGTTTGTTCTTAGTCTCCTACAACAGTGTCTGATCAAACACCAATGGAAACTGTCTTAGATTTCTTCAGAAAGTTGGGTCTTCGTCAAATCATTGTAACTCGTAATGGGTAAGTGATATATCAGTTTTCCGAAGTATTTCTATATGCTTGATTTACTTTGAAAATGCAGATTATTTAGACTTTCTTTAATTGTTGATTGACTATTTATTCAGAATTGAGATGAGAGTTTTTGAACTTTTTATTGTGACTGCCTCATCATTATTATTTATTAGTTTGGTAACATATCCTCTCTCAAATGGTTAGTATACTACAAAACAGTCTGCTCTATCCTACTCTACGTTTAGACTTGAGAAGTTAGTAGATTTTTGAAATCTCTATAGTGTCACTTGCGTGTAGTGTAAGTACGGGTTGAGCAGTTGTAAGGGTTAGGCATAACGTGATAAGTAAGGAAGGTAAGCTAATCGATCACGCTATGAATCTGGAATATTCAGTGACCCGTAGGGTGCCAACATCTACCCCAATCCGCGATATTACCTTCAACAGGATTAGGGTGGGAAAAACGATAAGGTCGAATAGACCTAAACATGACACCAACTCATGAATGCTCTGTCTATTGGTATGGGATATGTAGGTTCGTTTAGATTGCCACATCGGTTGACACTCGATGAAATGAGTAGAAATTGATCATTGTTTATCATCCTCAAAATCTCGAATACTTTTCGGATCTTTATGCATTTGTTTGTTTTCCAATCACAAACTATTAGGTGATTTTGGCATATTCTTCTTTCTTTTTTTCAATTTACCTTTCTGTTATGTTTTTAAAGTATGATAGTTTTGTGCAACTGTTTACTTCTGTATGTCTATTCCAGTAAATTGTTAATTTTACGAGAAAGCAGTATCTAACTTGTTTCTTCCATATTACTAAACCCTACTAAGTAAATCATTGTTATCGGTTTGTCCATTATTAATTGTTGACCCTCACCTATCCATCATTATCGAAATTCTACTTACATTAAACAATAATTACGTTATTTGTATTGTGAATTCAAATTACACATCGTGGTCATATTATCATAGTGAATATCTTTGAATTGGATACCTTGTTGGTGGTAAGAAATTAGTGTAAACCCTTAGCTTGTAATCCACATGACAACCAAAATAGGTGCTTGGAGCATTTACGTGATGAAACTGAGAAACAATCATAGAGGTTTAGCCACATTCATTTCTTATCTTCATTTTAACCGTTGTCTCACATTTCGTTATTTGCCTTCATCTGATTTTCTGCAATTTCTAATTATATTTTTCTTCTATTTCTGTCTTTCGTCTTCCTCCACTGTATTTTGATGTGATAGTGTGAGGTATGGTAACTTTAGCCTTTACTCAATGATTACAGACTTCACATTGATTTCGACTAACCGAATAGATATGCAATAATGATAATGACAGATATCATCATTCAAAAATTATCATCACTAGGGATATAAAAAGTAATTTTAGTTATTACGAAGGAAAATTACATTTTAAGATTAGTAAGTAGATGGTATACTTTTAGCTGTTGAAATCTGATACAAAATATACGAAACACATGGGAAAACGTAAATATAAAAGTCGACCCTTTTATGCAAAGAAAGCATTATCATTATCTTGTTACCGTAGTTACTGAAATTATATTGTGATACTTTTGTCCATTAATTGTATTTCTTACTGAACCACTGATTTTAATTCAATCAATTTCGTTCTTTCGGCTTCATTTACTTACATACTTCCTGATTTATTATTTACAGCTGTGATCTCCTTTTCTTCATACTTCTAAACCTTTTCCTCTCTTTCTCTTATATAACGAAGTGTTGTGAATGAAACCATTACCTCGTAGATCCCTCAAAGAAACTCGAAACTCCTCAACGACCTTCACAACTAATCATTGCATGCCAAACACTCGCAAAGAACCGTATGTTCATGTATGTGACCTCCAGACCAGATAATGGAACCGAATCCATAGGAAATATCTCTTCAGAAAAGTGTAGAAAATTCCAAGCCTACCGTTGTGCATGTTTTGACTTGACCCAAGTTTCCACTTCACCTCCAATCATTCCCCCGTATCAATGGTACCAGTCTGCAAAATCTTGGCTATCTCAGATAGTCTGATTGATAATCGATACGACACTCTAATAGAATTATTAATTTAGAAATAATTTAGAAATTTCTTAGTGCGGAGTGACATTTCTTACATTTGAGTAGTTTTTTAACTGCCCAGCTGTTGAAAACCACCCAGCCAAGATCATAAAGTGTGACCTGACTGCTAATAAAGCTCGACCTCAAACAAGCGAAACCCCCGTCTGGTGTTTAAATCACTCTAATCTAGCTTTCAAAATCTGCAGTTCTGCCTGATTAAATTCTAGCCACTCAAATTTTTCAGTTGTATATTTCCACACTACACTTCCCTTCTGTAATTCAGCTCAATTGGGATTGGGACGAGAACACTGGCTTACTGTTAACGAAAAGTTGCGTATCACACATTCACGTGGCATCCGGACAAAACCCTTAGTGATTGAAGTAAAGCTAAGACCTAGCCAGGAGTTAGGTCTCCTAACTCGGTTGGTAGAGCACCAAGTTAGTAACCCAGAGCTAGCTGGCTAGAACCATGCGACAAACCAAATTTTCATTGCACCTTCAATCACTACTCCGTAACAGTTAATTAATTAACTAATTTATTCACTGTAGAATCTCGATATTTTCGAAAAGATTATTCTTTGTTTATTCAAATGACGCTTTATAAACTTTGATAAAGCCACTGGCGAACGTAATGTAGATGAAATGTGTAATTTTTTCGCCCAGTACATTTTGAACATTCTGACCACACATTCTTGTCATCTTTATTCATATAAAACAGAGTTATGTAGAACTAACTCTTGTTAATAAATCTGATTTGCCGATGGAAGTTTAATTTAACTATAAAATGTTTTTACGTATATAAAGGAGGTTTTAATTTCTTGATATCTGATTGGTCAACGAACTTACGTGTGTATACCTGCAACATATTTTGTAGAAAGATTTGAAAAATGTGTCAAAGTCAACCTTATAACCCATCTCAGTGGATATGTTACTACTGATAAAATTCAACAGTGGAGCCATTTGACTTAATTTGTTGTTTTTAACCATTTTGGAATTTTCTTGTAATCCCTTTGTTGGCGTGGATCTATGGGTCCACCTCGCGTACATTTGATCACATAACATATACATGTAAATTGATAAACTGATTTCGATATAAGCTCATCTCTCAAATTCTCTGAAGATTTACAAAATCGCTTAAGCTTAGTATTCCCTACAATGGTAGCTTACATTGCATTATGCTATTTTGGATGGCCGCTTTAAGTCTTCTTTCAGTGATTAGACTCTGTTAATCAACCGTGTAAGGTTGTATGATATTCACCTATAATCATTCCTATTGTGACGTTATTAGCAAGATATTTAGCAAATAGACTCATTTCAGTGAATTTATTATATCAAATTGAAATGTAAATTTGACACTGTTGGTATCTATAAACGGAGATCTTTTAAATAAGAAGCTTAGTTGGATTAGTACAAAGTTGCTGATCGAAATATAATCACATGAAATCTAAATTTTTTTACACCTTGAGTGACATGAGCATGCAAATAAACTAGTGTCAAAAGAAAACATAGTTCTGTTTTTAATGTTTATCTAGTGAAGATATATTCAGTTAGCTCAAAAGTATGTTCTAAAATAAGCTTATAGTATTGTCTTTTATCAGATCTAATGGTTTCAGTTATCAGTAAGCTGATCAGAAACCTATAAACTAACATTATTAGACTCCTTTTTTTGTCCTCCTATGCTTATTTTTTAATTGTTTGGACATTACTTTATTTGATGTGTTGTATATACAGAAGAATATTTATTACTCTTTATGAACCATGTATATCTACACCTGAATTTTATTGATTTTATTGGACACCATGTTTTCATAAACTCGTTTTATTTCCTTTAATTCTTTCCATTAAATAATCATATGCAGGTGACTTTTTACTACATCTTTATTACTGTTTAGTTTTCTAATAACTTTTGTTGTATGTGACGTCAATGTAGCCAATGTGTGAATTCCTTAATTGACATGTAATGCGAACAATGGTAATACTCTTTTTTCATTAGACCATAAAATTTATGTAATAGTTTGGTTATCACGTGCAGTATTTTAATCTTCAGAAATGATTGGAGTTCATTGTTACCGAGTAAACATGACTTTTGTCCACATCATGATCCATTCTGTTTAAGTGCTTGTAGACAGTTGATAAGATGTCATTATATTTTACTGAAACTTATTTTAAGCTTCAGGAAGGTCATTCTTGCTCTATGATCTGATACACGATTGTTCAGCATCGTAGTCGAAGATATCGCATCATCACATAATTTCGTAATAATGACTTCCGAATATTTTACAGTGACAGGTTTTGTGCGTATTGAATTTGAAGGTTACGTGTATTTATATCCTAAATTTACACAAATGGTTGGTTTTTAGCATTATAACGTAGTGAATTCTTCTATTGGCTAAGTAACTGAAGAAAAATGCTCCGTGAAAGTATTTCTGTAGAGTTGGTAAACGTGTTCTTCTAGAAATACTTTCAAGTTTTTGATTTTACAAGGATGTAATAAATATTTCAAATTGTGGATTATCCTATTTCATTTTGAAGTTAAATGCGTGTAAAGTGGGGTTAAAAGATATTACACTTGATAATTTATATTTCCAACAGCTTTGAAATTCGAAGTACTCTTCATCATGGATGGATATCAAGTGGAGAGCCACCGAAAACTTGCTACAGCTATTTCGCTTTAGTTTAAATATCCTTAGCAATGAGCACGCATGACTGCCGAGGACGCCAGTCACTTTCTTGGAGATGAGTTAGCCGAAATTTTAATAAAACATATAGGTCTACCAAGTTCGGAGTAAATATAGATGCCTACGGATGACATTGAATTCTAAAGTAATGAATGAACAGCAGTGTAATTATCACGAAACCTGATGGTCTTGAGCTTGACCCTTTGCAACGATGTATCGTACTTAAAAGTCCAAAACTAGAACGAAACAACAGTCTGGTCCTTCCATGTCTTCAATGGTTCTTCAACTGATATCTATCCGTGATAGAAACTCCTTTGATATCACTCATTCCCTGCGAATCATGAATGAGAAAGCTTGTGAATTGTACAGTCGGTTTTGGCCTACACAGCCGAGCATTTTGACATCGAAAAGATTTGATTTCAGTTACGTTTATATGCCATTATCAGTATAATCGCAGTTCATGTTCGTGATCTCTGTACAAAGAAATCTAAGATAAGTACAACTCAACAACCTCGTATAGCTTGTGGTCTTATAGCTATACTCAGTTTGTAAGTGCTTATGGTACTAACTAGTAGTCCTGGCCAGATTACAAGATATGGGATTGAAACTGTCTTAATAGTTACCAGACAAATGTCCAAACAAACCCCTTAAGTGTTGCTGACTAAGGATACTGTTGAATTACATGAACAGTTGTGTATCACGTATACACATAAACAGTGCAGTGTTAGAAATCGTGGATGAGTGGCTTATATTCTTGATGTTTACCAGTCTGACAACTGTCGAACCTCTTTTGGATATCGCCAATCACTCTCCTAAATGGTCAGAGTTAAGTTGTTTGAGCGGAAGCCTTCTAAGTACACAGTTCATCAATTATTATACGATTAAAACTTGGGCACTGTGGTAGAATATAATAAACAGTCAGTTGTGTCCGAAACACACTTCAGCGATTAATACATCTAATAAATCAACTAAAATTGTTTATGAATTGTATCTTAATGGTTGTTATAACTTTAGATAGTTGTAATTGACTGGAGAAGACTGATGTTAGTCAATACGACTGATCTATCACTACTCAGCAGCATATTTGCCTTGTTGGTTTGTAGATAACCACCCGTATGTCGAAATAATAATGTTTCTTCAAAACAGTTGATGCAGTTATTGAGGAGTAATGTGTTTATGAAGTGTCTATTTAACTTGTGTTTATTTGAGTAGACTGTTATCCTGCTCTTTTTATACTTATATTTTTTTCAGATGTCCTCTCGGTGTGTTAACTAAAAAGGATATTCTTCGTCATGTTCAGCATCACAATCCAAATAATCGTTGACAGTCAAAATATAATACTCAAATTACTACTCCATATTCTTGATATTCTCAGTCATCCTCCATTTTTATTTTCTTTGTGCAGTTACATGTATACAATATGTGCGATTTTGTTTATTAATTCATCTGTTTATTTATTTATTCTTTTTGTTGAGGTTTTCTAGTTTTTCATCTCTTAACTATTTTTCTTTTCCATTCTTATTTGTGTCACATGAGTTTATGACGTATTATATTTCTTGTCGCTTCATCCTCAATAATAATATTACTTAGTATAAATGAATTGAAATGCTCTCGGTAAATCCTTTGTGAACCATTCTTCATTTCTTTAGTCTTTAAAATCGTATAGTCGGATGTAATTGGAGTGTGCATTCATTCAATGAAACACATATTCATTTCTGACTATCAATCACACTTTCGATTTCGAAATCTTGTAAGTCGATGAAGTCATTAATGTAAGCATAGAACTTGGTCACTTTGTTCGAATGTGATTCCACATTAGAATAGTTTATTTGATGAGGTCATCTCAGATGTGTAGCACTTCATTAAATTTGAGCTTACTGCTGAAGGGTTGGGAAATATCAATTGTAATCTCTTCAGTTATGACTGAAATGACATGTAATATGTCCGTCAGTGATAAAACTTGATGATTGTATCTCGTCCAATTACCGAAACCGGCGCAAATCTTTTTCGGGTCTTATGAACCTTCAACTTCATTATTCGTTTGAAGTTATGGACTGCATCTGATGTCCAAATCATTATAAGATTCATAGTCGAAATACTTAGTAGGCTAGTCTTCGCTTGGTGCATACGTAGGGGCTAACCAGTACATTGAAAGCAGGTCATCTGAAATACTTGGACATATCTGGAAAGTTTACTTAAATATGCCATAAAAATCAACCGACTAAAATGTGAAGCCGTAAAGGGATTCATACGATTTAGGGGCGAAGGGAAACAGTAAGTTTAAGTGGTGATGAGTGTTTTATAAAAAATATAGACGATTTAAAAGAATAACCTGATCTGGACTGAACGAAAGCCATGTGGAATTCTTAGATCAGAAATTTTAACTGGGATTTCGTATCTAACTTCACTGAGTTCATTCACTAGGCGATGTGTTGTAGAGATGAGTTATGTCACTTGTCGTGATCTAGGCTGCGCCAAGTATTTTCGACTAATCTTAGTATACTTTGAGTCACTGTGTACACAACACCAGTAAGTCTATGTGAACACACAGGTACACTTAGATTTCACTTTTGTATAGCCAAACTTTCCGAAAACTTATCTTAGCAGTAGGTGCCAAGAGCAACAACAAGCAAAGCAAAAGAAGCAGCACAGAATTTTAAAGTTTTGATTAGTTGTTTTCGTCAATGTGTAATATACATAAGGGGATTTATTTTCAATATTAAAGTGTCGCTGATACATTGGATGCACAAATAAAGCTACGTGGGATGGACAACAGCTTGATGCTACTTGTGATCCACATTACATACACAATCATGACATGACTAAGACGTAAAGGCGACTTTGCAACCCTTATCATGGATTTCGGAATCGCTCAAAACTACGCATTAAGTATAAATTACAGACAGCGGACTAGTTTATATTCAGTTAGTGATCTCGGATTTCAGATAAGCTTCTAAGAAACCTCTATGGTATTCACAAGTCTCTTGCAGGAGTAACTGAAAGTGGAAATTGCGGTAATTCACCGCTAGGAATACAATATATGGGATCTCGTTAAAAATCTACTCATGTGGTTCATTATGTTTAAGAAAATATTTAGTCTTACTTTGTCCAAACCTTTATCTGTGAAAGTGGCTTCAAAAAATCACATCAATCTAACTTATTTAGAGTTGTACGCAACAGTTGAAGCTGTTAACTACTCCATGTGACTTTATTCAAATACCTTTGCAAATACTTTATGTACGAATGTCAAAATAATATTAAAAATAATTTTTTGGATGGATATTGGGTAACGCAATTATCCACACCTTTGAAAATCTCATGACGTCTTTTGATGTACTTGTTGTTGTGCTTTATTTGGCGCTAGTCGGTTAAGATAAGGACCGTATCGTCCTCGTCACAAAACGTGTTATCCATATTCATATCGTAACTCATTCGAGACTATCATTGCTGCCTATTTAGGGCAAAAAGCAATTACTTTTTTTCACCAGGTGACATTTGAAAAATCCAAATCCCGACTTCATTGGCACAGTCTATGAAGCAGCAGGATTTTCCATAAATGAATGGCATTTCCCATACCATATTCTCGTAAAAGTAAAAGCAATCAGTCTCCTGCTTATAAAAACAGATTGATTGACGACATGTTGGGTCTTGCTTGTAATACCAGGAAACTTCAATTCAGATTTTCTTTGGGTTTGACAGTTGATTTTCAGTACAAGATGAAATAGTTATTCGTTTGGATTATGACATAGGTGAACTACCAGTGTTATCTAATGGCTATGACCGTGTTTTAGTATGGACGGACCGAGTTACGAGGTTGTAGCGTCATACACTTCCCCAAAATCAATAGCCTAGGGTTTGACGGCTTTCGACATTGATGCTGACCTTGATAGTTTAACTGGACTCGCCATGCTGAAGGCACCCGGTCAAGCATCCTCGCCATTTGGTACGCTGTCGTGTTACGTTGCACTGCTCGTATGCGACTCTCTAGCCAGTTAGTTGGAACGCATCGGTATTTCGGCATAACCATCCAAATATACTATTCCATCCGACTACGCTATCGTGTTCTTCCTTGGTCTCGTATTCGTGGGTATATAGCAGGTCCGAATAATTAGTGATAGGTCTTTACGTCTGTCAAGTTCGCACCAGGACAAATCCTAAAAGGTAATTAATTCCAGTACCTGTAACAGATACATCCACTAGAATAATTGTCAAGAATTATGGCGAAGCATGTGTGGGTCAGAAGTTGTTTACTCAAACAATTAAGCTAAGTGCAAATGAAACGTTAAGAACTAATTTCCATCTCGAAACTTTTAGGAATATCCCGGAAAGGATCTGTCAACGACAAAAGGCAGCACAGATAGCAGTGGCGAATAACAAAACACAGAGTAATGAGCTAGCGAAAGTTCCCCATTGGATTATTTTGAGTGTCTAGAAAATATTTTATTTTTGTGCGATGACTAACTTCACCGAACTACATTATGTTTTCCAGGATTGGACTTAAGCTACATAACTGAAGTCCCAGCAACTTTTAAATTCTTTATTAGAGAAAATTTCAGCCCATTTACGTATGTCTCGACCTCGATATATGTACGCGTCAGTATATGCGTTTGAGAAAACCGGTTGATTTTATGTGTATCATTATCCCATGTTGGTCGGTTTTGGAAATCCTTGGTGTCCACTTCATATTTACCTCTCTAAAGGATTTCAAGAAAGAAAATCATCGATATGAACCCTTCTGGTGAATAAAAATCTGTGGGCTTTTAAAGCGGATAATAGTTCGCTTAAAATGCAACTGCCGTGAGTTTTACGAGATTCAGCATTGATGCTGATCGTAGTTGCTTGGATGAGCTGGTGAGGTTGATAGTGCTCTGTCAATTATCCACTCGTCTACATCACTAGTGCGCTCCACTCTAATCGTTAATTTCCATCTGATGTTTCAGATAGCTTAGATTTTCCTGTTGCATAATGAACAACATTAAATAATTGGTTTTCTGATTACTCACATATCCTACCTGTTACGGATGCTTTAGTGACTGCCTGACCGTCGTGTCAGGGTAGGAAACCACGTCAGTATGTAATATTACGATTTAGGTTGCAAATTGCTGTATACCCAAGATCACTGTCAACGTGTGGAAACATAACACGCCACCAAGCTTTTATCCTCAGCACAAAATGGCCAAGACAGCAGGCGTAACCACACCAGCCCGGCAAATTATGTTCTATGCACTGACGTGCCTGGGACTGAATTTTCACTGTCAAACCGGAAGATTACAAGCAGACCATCAATCAGACATACTGCTTATGCATAAACTGAAGCAAAAAATATGCTTCAGAGGCCCAACTGATGGTAGGATTCAAAGTCGGAAACCCTGGTACTCATTATTCAACAGAAATAACCAAAAGGATCCACAACGTGTTTAGTAGACCATTTATGCAACTACAAGTACATTCATTTTTTCTAATGCGATGCAGTAGCAACGAAGAGGTAGATATGTTTTAAGAAGGTGCAGTGACGCCTTATTCCTCATTCCGAACTACGGCTTTGCTCACAGTATAGAATTCTCAGCAAGCAATATTGCACCAGGTTTGCTGGATGGCATACTAGCCTAACAGACAAGATAACTCTTCGCAGTTTAGGAGTTGATTGAATAGACTGGGTTTGACATGTTTTTCTTCACACATTACGCATGCTAAATCAGACGTGGTAGAATTATCGTATTTAGTTGCACTTGCATAGCCCATTAGGGACCGGCAATCAGCATCCAACTTAACAGCACAAGAATCCTCCACACAATTTCCCGTACCGCAGTAACTAAACCCAGAACCTAGCTATTTGATATGTTTCTACAGCGATGTAAGTGATCTTAGAAGCTAAATACTAGAGGTAAGAACAGTGCGCTCGTAGCTGCATGCCGACATAGTATACTTTACAAAGACGTGCTCCTCTTCAGACGTCTAGAGACATGTAATTTCTGTGCCTGTCGTGCTCCTGTTCCGAAAGTGCAGGCAGTTCAAAAGAAGGAGAGGGTTGGCCACATCTATCAGCACTCAAAAAAGGAGACGGCTTGTGATACCTGTAGCCAGTTGCTGGTCTCTTTGAGTTACTTTTTCTTCACAAACCGAGTGAGCCACTGGGTGAGAATGGTATACAGGCCGCCACTATGCGCAGCAGAGCACAAGGAACAAATGCTCGTTGTGATGTTGATGCCCACCTAGGCAGCGTATGACCTCATACTGTGCTTTGGAGACTTCAACTTACGGGCGTTTAACCCGGGATGGGAAATATGCTATAATCAGGAGCCTTCTCAACACATTCGTGGCATC